ATATATATATATATATCTGGATCTGAACATTTTAGAATGGTGTAAAGAAATTATATGGCGTAGCTTTACAACTGAAGCTTGTAGCTTTGTAATACTGTCTGTAGTCTGTACAGATAGCTAATTTCAATGAACTACTTTCGGGGAACTTATAATCGTAAGTACAGTCATTGGCAATATCTATACTATAGACATGGCTTGATCTTCTTGTTTTGGATCATTTTGTATTTATTTTTTGTCTAAATTCGCTTTCGAATAAGACTAGTTATTGTACAAGGTCATGAAATATGATTATGATCTATTGTCTTGTTTAAGGGCTTACAACATCCCCATCACCAGCAACCTCTTCTGACATTGCTCCCATACAAGGAACATTAGGTCCTGTCCAAAATGGGAAGTCATTTAGCAGCAACGCACCGAGCTCGGTGTCGCAACCAATTGGTAACTTTGTTAATCCTTGGGCTATGAAATGGTAATTATCCAAGATGAGATTATCTTATTGATATGTTGATATGATGATGCAGGGTCATTTTTACCTCCTGAAGTTGCATCGCCACCTCTTTCCTCCCCACCAGAACCTCAAACACAAGAGGGGCTAGTGCCATCATTGCCACCAAGCATTACAGAAGTTTTCCCACCATTTAATACAGCTCCTCCACCCGTAACCGATCAAGGGCATGTACCAGCAATTCCACCAGCCAATCCTCAAGGAAAGGAACCGGTTGCGGAAGCTCCTGTCTCCTTGCCAGTTGCTCCAGGTAGAGGGCCTGTTAGTAAGATTTCTTCCATTCTTTCTCTTAGTTCTCCACACCAAGTATTATAATTGTGATTGTGATCATTATTTTACAGCCCCTCCACCCATTACTGTTCATGTACCCGCCGTACCACCAGCTGCTTCTCAAGGAAAGGAACCAGTTATCGAGTCGCCTGTCTCATTGCCGGCTGCTCCAGGTACATGATCCGCCTTGGTTTTAAGGGTAGATACACCACGTGGATTTTCTTATTTCAAGTGAATTTTCAGCTGAACTTGGTAGTGAATGGCTTTTATGTTATACTATGATTTACAGTTCCAGTTGAAACGCCTTCAAGGAACATGCCACATGTTTCCCCAGCTGCACATCCTAGCACACCTGAAATTCCACCAGTAAGTTCTGACCAAAGAAATTCTACAGATAATAAGGGTCCCGTCTCCGAGCCAATTACCCCAGGTACATGATAAGTGTTTTTTAATTTGTATTAAATTTTTAATATTTTTATTTTTATGCCATACTAGAATCTTTATTATAATGAATTTGGGTTAACATCTTTCTATTACATACAGTATCTATTGCTTCACCACCGAGGAAATTGGGACTACATCCACCTGGTACACCTAATCTAATCTTTTTTCTTATACTTTAAAGTAATTGAAATGAACTTCTTTTCACTGTTGCTTTTGTTTTGCTTCTTTCTTTTTCCCCTTCAATTATGCAGTTACAATTGTTTCAGCACCAAGTCAAGCGCCGCAAAGTTCACCCATTATCCATCCAACTACACCTAGAGGATCTCCATTAATACCTGGTACTTTTTCCCTCCAGAAAAGAAGTGTTGTTTTAAGTTCATATCCCACTATCCAATTGAACTGGATCATCAAGTTAACTTTTTAGTTTGGTAGTCTTTTTTGGAACCTTTATTCTTCAAAGCAAATAGGCTCTTTTTGGAACTTACATGCTTCGAGAAGCCTTTTTCTTTCATGTATCTTTATTTCTTAATTTTTTGAGCTAAAATCTCGTGGCTGGAGGGCACTGAGAAATGTGAAGAATCTCCTATTGTTTTATACTGACACGTCTAACAATATGGATCAGCGCTTTGATGGTATTAAAAAAATAAAATAAAAAAATTGATGAAAACCCACATTGAACCTGTTCTGGTTCGTTCTTCAGCATTTTCTTTTCCAAATTAGAATTTAGTTTCAGTAAAATGGTCTCCAAACTCAGACGAACAACTCATTTTTGCATTAAAATTGAACACACAGTATCTCCACTTTGGTTTTAAAGGGCATTTTACTAAGTTGTCTAAAGACATTTTACCCCAACCATTATTTCATATGATTTTCTCTGTACAAGTTGCAGACCATGAAATCTCTCCTGTGTCATCTCCTCCCCCAATCAATGACCGGAAAAGGCGGGGAATACCTGTTTCTGCACCATCATATACAAAACCCCAGCCATCAGCACCTGTGGGCCAAATCCCAGTAAACGGTATACTGAAAATGAAATTTCAGAATGGTTATTGATCTGCAGATATGTTATCTGGATAATATAATTTCTGCATATGTTCTTTTTGTAGGTTCTTCTGCTGGTGCTCCTTCAGAACATGAACCTCCCAGACATTTTTATAATGCTCCTCCACCATTGTCATTTCCCAATTCTCATAATAAAAGACATAATCCTCCTGCATCCTCACCTTCAACCTCATTTTATAAGCATCATCACGCGAGAAACAAAATCACCAATCCTGCTCCTGCACCATCATATACAGTTTATCCTCCCCCTTCGAAACCGCAAGGTAGGTTTCCTACTTTTCCTGAATTGTTCTTCTCCGCCTCCTTAAAAAGTGAAGTAGTATTTTGTTTTATTGGGATTTTTTTCCTTTAAAATTCTATGTAGGTCCAACTGTCCCACCAGAACCACTTCAAACGCATAGACAAAGACATTACGCTTCTTCCCCCTCAAAACCAGGTACTTTCATGTTTGTTATTCTCCAGTTTTGTATTCTATGTGAGTTTCAGCAATGGCCTAAATTTGGGGTCCCCAATTGTCTCTCATTCTGGATGGCAGGTTCTTCAGTTTCACCATCTCATAGCCCTTTTTCTCGACCATTAAGTCATGTTTCACCGGCACCTACTCCATCTCATAAAGCTGCATCAAGCAACCCCAAAAGTAAGGGGAAAACAATATGCTGGCTTTATTTTCTTTTACCCCAATATTTTGTCCCATTATTGGAATTTCTCATTTAATTTGTCGTCATTAAACATCTTACAACAAGATTATATTTTCACTTTGTTTGACCTTTCTCTCCCCAGAAGCCTCTCCTCCATCAGAAAGCCCAAAGGTATCATTCCCGCCACCACTTCGGGCATTTCCTCCTCCACCTCCTAATGAAGGTATAAAAAAGTTTTACAGTTTATTACCTGTAAATTTCTCATCATACTAAGTTTTGACCGGTACTTTTCCTTCTTGCAGATTGTTCAGCAACCATTTGCACTGAGCCTTATACAAACACTCCTCCTGGATCACCTTGTGGCTGTGTTTTGCCCATCCAAGTCGGATTACGGCTTAGTGTCGCTTTATATACATTCTTCCCATTGGTGGCGGAGCTTGCCCAGGAAATTGCTGCTGGTGTTTTCATAAAACAAAGTCAGGTTCGCATCATTGGAGCTAATGCAGCTAACCAGCAACCAGATAAGACAGTAGTACTTGTTGATTTGGTACCTCTGGGGGAAAGGTTTGATAACACCACTGCTTTTTTAACTTATCAAAGATTCTGGAATAAGCAAGTTACCATCCAAGTGTCCTACTTTGGCGACTATGAAGTGCTATATGTGCGGTATCCAGGTGCAATTTTGACACTCTAATTTATTCTATTCCACCCTCAATCCCCCTGGGTTGTTGTAAATAATTATTGTTTTACACTAAATCTACACTTGTAGGTTTACCCCCATCTCCACCTTCTGCTGGTGGTATAATAGATGATGGGCCGTATCCTGGTACTGACAGTAATGCAAGGACAATAAAGCCCTTTGGGGTTGATGTGCCAAAAAAGCATCATAAAAAGGGGCTTAGTAATGGCATAATTGCTATTATTGCTCTGTCATCCTCTCTGGCAGTGATTTTGTGCTCTGCGGTAGCTTGGATTTTTCTTTTTAAACGTAGGGACAAAGTTTCTCAACAAGGTCCAACTCAAAAGGTTATGCAACCTTCCCTCTCCAAACCATCAGGTAATTCAACCCAGCAACTTAGTCAATCAAGTTTTCTGGTGCAGTCTAGGAAAGTCAAAGTCATGTTGTATTGAGGTTTTCTGGTGGATTTGTGTACACAATATTTTGGTTTGTCTGTTTCTTCAATGTGAAAATAAAGTATGGAAGCTAGTTACTCAATATGTGTTTGTTATAATCGAATTCTAATTTTAGGATTATGGATGGCATACTGACAATGGGGTTTATACAGAACTTTTTTCTGTATTGAGAATATTAAAAAGGAGTACATATATTTTGCAGGAGCTCCTGGGTCCCTGATAGGAAGTAGGAACAGTTTTGCTTCTTTATCATTTGGATCTAGCATTGCAACTTATACAGGATCTGCCAAGACTTTCAGCGCAAGCGACATAGAGCGAGCAACCGATCATTTCAGTGCTTCTAAAGTACTTGGGGAAGGAGGCTTTGGGCGTGTTTATAGCGGTGTTCTTGAAGATGGCACCAAAGTTGCTGTCAAAGTTTTGAAGAGAGACGATCAGCAGGGTGGTCGTGAATTCTTGGCTGAAGTTGAGATGCTTAGCCGCCTTCATCACCGGAATTTGGTCAAGTTGATTGCTATATGTATAGAGGAGCGCAGCCGCTGCTTGGTTTACGAGTTGATCCCAAATGGCAGTGTCGAATCTCATTTGCATGGTACTTTGTCTGCTTCTAAGTTAATAAAATCTTTGTTTTCTATTTCTTCTCTCTTTTTTTTTTTTTTTTTCATTTTTGGTCATTCTCATTCTTTTTGGGTATTTTGTTTGTGATAGGTGTGGACAAGGAAACTGCTCCACTAAATTGGGGTGCCCGAATGAAGATTGCGCTGGGTGCTGGTCGGGGACTGGCATATCTACATGAGGATTCTAGCCCCCGTGTCATACATAGAGATTTTAAGTCCAGCAATATCTTGTTGGAAGATGATTTTACACCAAAAGTCTCCGACTTTGGTTTGGCTCGGACAGCTTTGGATGAGGAAAACCAACATATATCGACACGTGTCATGGGAACATTTGGGTATGAAACTCTCTTATGGCATCCAATTTTTCTATCCTGATTTGGTTATGTTCTGCACATGTTTGACATATTTATATTCTCATCATTGATTTCCAGATATGTGGCTCCTGAATATGCAATGACTGGGCATCTTCTTGTAAAGAGTGATGTTTACAGTTATGGAGTTGTCCTTCTTGAACTTTTGACTGGAAGGAAACCAGTAGACATGTCACAGCCACCCGGTCAAGAAAATCTAGTTGCATGGGCCCGTCCGCTCCTCACTAGTAAAGAAGGTTTGGAAATGCTTATAGATCCTTCTCTGGGGTCTGATGTTCCATTTGATAACGTGGCCAAAGTAGCAGCCATTGCATCGATGTGCGTACAACCGGAGGTATCGAACCGCCCTTTCATGGGCGAGGTTGTTCAGGCCTTAAAGTTGGTGTGTAATGAGATTGAGGAAGCAAAAGAACTTGGTTCAAGAACCTCAAGTAGAGAGGATTTGTCAATCGATTTGGATGCCTCGGAACAGTTGCAAAGCCAACACTCAGTCCACAGCTATGAGTCTGAGCTCGATCTAGGGAGAGGAATGTCGGCTTCAGAGTTGTTCAGTACATCTGCGAGATTAGGCACCGAACAATCTGAATCGTTTAGGAGGCACTCTAGTTCTGGTCCCTTGGGAAGCAGGAGAAGCAAGCGTTTCTGGCAGAGAGTAAGGGGACTATCTGGAGGCAGCGTGAGTGAACATGGGTTCACATTCAGATTATGGTCGGGTTCCCATTGAAAGGCTCCAAGAGGTCCCGATAAAAGAATTGATTTCTTTTTAATTTTCCAGTTCTCGATGTTCCAAGTGCAAGTGTACATTTTGATCTTTCCATGCAGAAAAGAGTTGAAGAAGGCTTTCAGAGGCTTGAAACTGGAAGATAAGCAAAGTGGTGAATATGGGGTGTGAATTTTCTGCAGTCATGAGGTTCTTCAAGTTAAATACTTAAATGGGATGGATTTATAAACCAATTTGGATCAACATTAATAAATTTCAAATGATCAACAGGGGCTAGTCTCGGCCGTCTACTTCGTACGATGATCAAAATCGTCGGATTTGTGTAGTGAATAAGTTCGGACTGAGGCTGCTATAAAACGTTTGTATGTAAAAATCCAATGAATGAATGACTGTAGAGAGAGAGTTTGCTCTTGTTACAGAAATTGTACAGAAGATTTTGTTGCCCCCACCTTTAAAGTAAAAATCATAGTAATAATGTTGCTTTCATATGATAAGATTTGACTATTTGCATTGCTATCACATGAAAGAAACTATGTACAGTCCGTATTGCTTTTCAATTCCTTCCTCGAGAATTATATGGGCAACTTTTTTCCTTGTGATTGTGAGCCTACACTATAATTCAGTCCTTTAAAATACATCAAATAAAAATGGAACTTTGCAAGAAAAAGGAAAAAAAAACCAAAATAAATAAAATTAAATAAAAGAGAAAGAGATAGAATATGATTCAATTCACAAAAGAATCTACGTCCATCGTCGAATTGCGTCGTTTTTTCCTACATTCAGTCATCGATCTGTCATTTTTTTTGTTTTTTGGGCACTGTCGTTGTCAAAACCATTGTCGTTTCGCGCACTTGCCGTTGTCGTTTTCCATTTGTGGTATTTTCATTCTGCTGTCGTTTTTGTTGTCAGTACGGTCGTTTTTCTGAATTATTGTCGTTTTTGAGAGTTGTTGTCGTTTACACACATGAATTGCATTCCTGATTCCTCTAGTTCAGGCATACGCCGTTGACAACTTGACATTTCCTTTTGACCGTTGGATCCACTCTCTCAATTTTTCTACTCATCCAACGGCTGAAATTATCCGTCATACATTCAATAGAAATCACCATAAAAAATCATAGATGACCAAGAAACTTTCGAGTCAAATTCACTCGATCTCAACGATCAAAACCCAAACCCCCAAAAAAAAAAAAAAAAACTCTTCTTCTCCACTTCGTCGCCGGCTGTAATGGTATGCAATCGGAAATTTTCCTTAGGATTTCTCTGCAAAAATATTTTCCTTGTTTCTCAAATTTTCTCTTTTTTTTTTTTTTTTTGGTGAAGGCTCCGAAACCAATTACGAGTCCAGTGCCGGAAGCATGGTACCCAACTCTTTCGGTCGTCATGCTCGCGATCGGCCTCGTCGTCACCGCCTCTTTCTTCATGTAAGCCAGATCTTTCGGATCACTCAAATATTGATTTCTAAAAGAGATTCAATTGCGATTCACGAATCCACGATATTAGGATTCTCGTTTTGCTTTGTAGATCTAATCGATGAAACAGAATTGGGGTTTTATTTTTTTTCTATCTGGATTCATTTTGGATAGATTGATTTAAGCAATTTGTGTGTCTCTGTGTGTCTATATTGTTTTTAGATACAAATGGATTTGGGATTTACGTATGTTAGGAAAAATGTGGCTTCTTTCGCAATTTTTGTATTGTACTTACTACTTTGTGGAAAGTGGAATCAGAGAGAGAATTATAGGTTATGCTCTAACAGAAATGTCCATTTATTTCAGAAAGCAGGTATTAGATTTTTGAGCGAGGAGTAATAGTGTGAAAGTATTGTCTAATTACCAGTTGAAGATTGAAGAAGGAATATCTTTCCATTTTGGTTTATGGAGAGTCAGTTGGGGCGCAAAGTCCTGGGTTTTGATGGTGTTCATTCATATATAAAACTGTTTTCGTTGTTTTTTTTAACTAATGTAGTTGGAGAGTTTCAGTTGATGGGGAGCCTTTGGAGGCTTTTTGATACTTTTGTGTTTTGGCATCACATTGTTTTTTGTATCAGGAGAATAAAGTTTTCATGGTTGCTCGAGTTCAGATTTGTATCTACTGTGGTGAAATTAAGGATGTGTTGCATGGAATTTTAGAATAAGATTCACATAATGTATGATTAAAAAAAAATCAGAAGAATTCAGTATTTTTATTAACATGAAGATGATTATTTCATCATACTCATTCATGCACAAGGAAGATTCCCACAATCAAGATAGTCTCGGTAGAATAGCCTTACTTGAAGGAAGATTGATCAAAATTTCTCATTATATTGTCTTCGGCCCCTCGCCGCATCATGCACATATGTAAACATGCTTTTCAGTTGGATTTGAAATGTGGGTTATTGTCTGGAAAATTTGGAATACTATGTATGGCTTTTCTGAAACAGAAGTACTGGGCAAAGAATTTAAGAACTTTGTATCACTTGTGCCGGACTCTGATGATTTTCCCAGTGCTGTTTTTGACATATACTATAGGTAAGTTGCAGCTGATGGTGGGCCTAACATTTGTGCATTTTGCTTGCAGCTATGAAGCAACATCGTCGACGCGAAACCGCAGTCTTACTAAGGAGCTGACAACGGGAGCGGTGGCATCTGTATTCTTGGTACGCCTGCAATTTATTTTTGAATAACAAATTATTCAACCTTAAGTGCTATGCAGGGTTTGCCTTATATCTCTTTTACTGGTATGCAGGGTTTCGGCTCCTTGTTCTTGCTACTGTCTTGTGGTGTTTATGTCTGAGTCGTAGATGCAGTAGTCGTGAAATTTTGTTGAGCCATGTGAGATTTTCATAGAGAATGATACTCTTGACTTTTGTTGTAGCTAAAAGTATTGTTCGGCTCTCTTCAATGGAACGATCTTCTCCATTATTCCATTAACAGCAATTGATTTGTTGTCATGTGGCAGATGGAGAGATTATGATCTGCACTGTTATTCTTAGCCTGAGCTTAATTTGAATACCACGGGATTTATGACTTGATAATGGTTCTATGCGTGTCTGTGCTAGCAAAATATTATATTAGAGACAGAACGAAGGATTGTTTTAAAGCCTATAACGTTAAAGAACCTTTGTTTGGTCAGAGCTTTACTATGGTGGTGTTCTTGAATCCATTTAATCATTCTTTTTAGTGGATATCCTGTATTTGGACGAGTTGGATGCTCCACATTTCTTGGAATAAAAAATTGGTAGTAGTTGGGTTCCTGGATTATAGACAGAAGTATGAAGTATAAACGAGCATATCTATTCTCCTTTCTTAGGCTAGTATAATCCTATTGAGCAACTCAATGATAGAGGAGATCATAGAATAAACAATCATATATCTATTCTTCTTTATCAGGCCAACCTGCTGGCAGTTGGCCGAATAGGTTTTGTTGGTTTGCAACTGTCGATGCGATAAAAGAGAGAACTTGAGGGAGTTGTTCGGCTCAACATTGCGGGCTTAGCCTGAAGATGAGAGGTTGGCAAGAGATTTTGTTGGGTGTGGGCTTTTTTATTAATTTTATTTGTTACAATGTGCGATCTAATCCACAACTTCTCACGAAAGCTCGATCTCACCCAATCCCGAACCCCAATCCCGAACTTGAGGGAGGTGTTCAGCTCAACATTGCGGGCTTAGCCTGAAGATGAGAGGTTGGCAATAGATTATGTTGGGTGTGAGCTTACAAAGCGGGATCGAATCCACAACTTCTCACCAAAGCTCGATCTCACCCAATCCTGAACTTGAGGGAGTTGTTCGGCTCAACATTGCGGGCTTAGCCTGAAGGTGAGAGGTTGGCAAGAGATTTTGTTGGGTGTGGGCTTAATTTTATTTGTTACAAAGCGGGATCGAATCCACAACTTCTCACCAAAGCTCGATCTCACCCAATCCCGAACCCACAACTTCTCACCGAAGCTCGATCTTACCCAAACCCTAGTGCCACTAGACTAGGGCTGACAATCTGGGTAGTGACACGGCGACACGACTCGAAACATGCACGAAGTTAGTAGGTTTGGGTTTACTATAAATGAATTTGGGTCATAATTAGGTTGACATGATTAACACGATTAATAAATAGGTTGGGTTAGGGTTGACCTCCTAACACGGAGTGACACGAATTGATACGATTAACTATATGTGTCATCTGCAATATAATGATATGTGATATAACATGAAAGTTTATATGACATATTAAATACAAATAATGTGAATTTTAATATTTGTAGGTAAAATTCATTTATTTTTCTTAAAGAAAAAGATAAATTGACCAATAAACATGTTAAACCTGTCATGGCTGTATTAAATAAGTCATTATTATATTAGTTATTTATTTAATATATTAATTTAAAAGGGTTATACGGGTTGACGCGATTAATAAATGGGTCGTGTTTAGGTTGACATTTTTGACATGTTTAATAAACATATCGTGTTTAGGTTGATGTTTTCTAACACGATTAATAAACGGGTCGACACGAACACGACCCACTAACACGAATTGTCACCCTTACACTAGACCAAGCAATTTTAAGCATATAAGTTATGGTTTCATTTTGTGTAGTTTTTTTAAAAATAAATAAATAAATAACTAATGCCTTTTGATTAGTAACAATATGCATATTAGTAAAATTAATAGGATAAATTTTATTTTTGCCTCCTGAACTTTTTTTTTTTGTCACTTTACCCCTAAACTTTAAAAGTTGATATGCACACCTCCTGAACTTTGAAACACTATTAACTTTGGCCCCTTCTGTTAATTTTATTAACATATTTGATGACGTGGTAATTATTGGAGTGGTAATTTAATAGATTATTTTAATAAATGCCTCATGAAGTATGTACCATATTTAAAAAATGTCATATGATCTATTAAAATATATCAAAATGCCCATAATATGTAGAAAATATAATAAAATAACGTGACATGCCATTAAAAATAAATTAAACATATTAAATTCAAATAAAATCAAGCAAAGTGATTAGATATTTAAAAATAATAGAAAATAATATAAAAAAACTTGAATTTAAAATTGAAAAATTAAATAAATCAATTTCTTTTCAAAAATCAAAACAAGAAAAGAAAAAATTTGCAAACTTAAATAAATATTGACAAAGAGGAAGTAGGTTTTTCAAAAAAAAAAATTCCTCTTTACTTTTGTTTTTTTATTTTTAACAAATATTTAATTTATTTAATTTTTGAATTTCTTTAAAGTAAAATTTTTATATTTTTTAATTATTTTTAATATTTAATCGCTTTTATTGATTTCATTCGAATTTAATATGTGTAATTAATTTTTAATGGCATCAATAAAATTATTATTATTATTTTTTTATAAATTAAGGGTCATTTGATATGTTGTCATAGATTATGGGGTATTTTTAAATAAGGTACATACTTCAGGAGGCATTTATGAAAATAATCCGACCACATCATCATATCCGTTAATAAACTTAACAGAATGGGCAAGTTTTGAAGTTCAGGGTGTGCACAGACTAAGTTTCAAAGTTCGGAAGGTAATGTGACAAAAAAACTAGAACCCAAACTGCCTACCATAAGGGTGGTTCGGTTTCAGTTATTGATTCCGGTAGTTTGTTGGTTCTGATGATCGTACCTACTCGATGGATAACAAACATTTATGTATCATCTTCTTGCTATAACATGTCTCATGTCTATTAATGATTTACTAAAAGAGGGTCAAACTGCATATCTGAAAAATATTGGGTGCGTTTGAAACTCGTTCTAAAATAATTTTTTTTGTATGAAAATAAAAATGAAAATGTTTTCAATCTCAGACAGAAATCATTTTTGAAAATGCGTTTGGTAATTTTATCAAGAGATTATTTTCAATATAAAAAAATTTATTAATGTCTCTCTCTTTCTACTCAAGAGAGGAGAAAACATAAACAAAAAAATGAAAAACGACTAAAAGTCGTTTCATTTCTCTCACATTTTACACTAAACTAAAAATTTCATTTTTATTTCTATTTTTTTACTTTAATTGTGTCAAACACCGTTTCTCTCCCGTTTTCCTTTTTCCTTTCTCAAAAAACGTAAAAAAACAAAAACAAAAACAACTATGGGTCCGTTCACCTCGCTAATTCAAGTTGAGATGTGATTTTATGTGAGAGCTTTTTACTGTAGCAAAAAAATTAGATGTGATTATTTCTGAAAACTTTTTACTGTAGCAAAACTCAAATTTTAAATTTGAATCGGTGAAGTGAACGGGAACTATAAACACAACTGTTAGGTCACCTAAGCTTCTTAAAATGATATTGAGGGTTGTTTATACTTGTGTTTGTACAAGGCCTTTCTCAAAGGCCCAAGACTATAGCTCCATTCCATGTCGTGAACATAGACCTAAGCTACGCTCGAAGAACATTCTATTCGGCCCCGCCCCAAAGTTGAAAGTCTTGCCTTTGCCTTCTCCTACTGATTAGCAACTCCTCCGATCACGTCGGATTCATCACCAACCAATTGGAGATTACTATCTTTACACATTATACTAGTTGAATTGAAAAGAAATGTTAGTACTAGTGTCACTTTTCTTATCATCTTTTTTGTCTATTTAATGTTTTATATGTAGATTATATTATATTATATTATATTTAAATAATATATATGAGAAAAAATGAGGAAAGTTTTGTGAATGTTTAGAATAAGTTTTGAAAATAATTTTCACGTATTTTGAAAAATAAAAATGATAATAAAAATGAAACGATATTTATTTAGTAAATATTTTAAAAATAAAAACAGTGAGAATAATTTTTGTAAATGAATTAAAAAATAGTTAAAAATTATTTTCACTTTTTTATTTTTATTTTTTAATATTTATTAATAATATTATAATATATTAATTAATAAACACGATTTTATTTTTTTATTATACTCAAAAAAATCTCAAATAATTTTTAAAATAATATCACTTTTATTTTTTATTAAAAATAAAATTATTTTTAAATTAATTCTAAACGCACATTTATTTTTTATTTTTTATTTTTTTCCTAATTCGCATTGCACACCAAAAGTTGACAAATGAAGACAACACGAGCAAAAAGTGGGACCAGCATTACAAAGCTCTCTCTCTCTCCTCGACACAACACTAATATATTCGGACACCGAGAGAGAGAGAGAGAGGGTGACTTTACTAAAAGCTACTCCTATTTGCTGTACAGTAGCGAGGGTCCAGTCCCGTCCAATACCGGCCAGAACCAAGAAGCTACAGAGATCGGCCATGGACGCCCAGTCGCAGCAAGCCCCGGCGAAGAAGAAGGAGACCCGGGGACGGAAGCCGAAGCCCAAGGACGAGAAGCAGGAGGAGCAACAGCCGCAACAAGGGAAGATAAAGAAGGCTCATCAACAGCCCTCCGTCGACGACAAGTACTCCCAGTGGAAGTCCGTCGTCCCCGTCCTTTACGACTGGCTTTCCAACCACAACCTCGTCTGGCCTTCCCTCTCTTGCCGGTACGACCAACCTCCTCTCTCTCTCTCTCTCTCTCTGGCTTTCTAGGGTTTCGCATGGCGGTGACATTGTCTCTTCGCAGTTTCTTTCTGGCTTTTTAGGGCTTTGTGTCGCGTGGTTTCGGAATTCTAGGGATTCGTAATTTGTTTGCTTGCTCAAGATTGGGACTTTTGTTAGGGTTTTAGAATTTTGTTACGAGATTTGTTGATGAGTTGATCTTGCTCTGCGTAGATGGGGGCCTCAGCTTGAACAAGCGACTTACAAGAATCGTCAGCGTCTTTACCTTTCTGAACAGGTGAATTTCCTCGTCGCCATTGAAAGTTCTTTGGATGAAATGTTTGAATTCATCGTTGTTCAGAGCTTCGTAGATGAAGAACTTAGTGTTTCTGATATATCAAACCGATTTCTTGTTTAGATTTTCTCTTATGTCGATTTGCAAATATGACTTCAATATGTTTGTAATAAAGTTGTCTTCTTTTTTTTCTTTTTCTTTTTTTTTACTTAAAAAAAGTTCTGTCCTTTTAGCCTTAAAGTTTTTTTTTGGTAATAATTACAAGGAACAATAACCAAAATGATTGATAATTATCTAATAACTAGTCGAAGATATTATAATATACATTTAAATTTCCCATAAAATATAGCATGTGTTTAAAGAAAAACCGGAATGGAAAATATTTTGGTCTTATAATTGATAATTTATTGATTCTAAAATTTGTCTTGGAAAGAAAATTAATATTTATATATTTTTGCTTCTTTCAGACTGACGGCAGTGTTCCAAATACTCTGGTAATTGCAAACTGTGAAGTTGTCAAACCTAGGGTTGCAGCAGCCGAGCACATATCACAGGTAACACATTATTGCGTCATTGATTTCGTGAATTTCTGTTGGCAGATTGTTGCTTTAAATTATTGGTGAGTGATAATTTGGTTTGTTTTTTCAGTTCAATGAAGAAGCACGCTCACCATTTGTAAAGAAGTACAAAACCATCATACATCCAGGAGAGGTATGAATTATGGACTATTGTAATGCACTTTTATACTTCTTTTCTCTTCTTCTTCTTTCTTTTTTTTTTTTTTGGCTGAATGCACTTTTATACATTTGGTTACTTTTGATGATGAAACGTGAATGGACTTTTTTTTAAAAAAAAAAATTGGCTTTTGTGTTGAATCGCTTGCTTTGATATTTGTTTTCATGCAGTAGAGAAACAGAAATATGATTGTCCTTTTGATGCAAAAAAAGTGGGGGAAGTAATGTTTTCATTTGATTTTTTCTCAACGTTTATGGAATTTGTCTTTTTTTCTTTTTCCTCAAGTGTTGTTCAATTTTTATTTTGTAGAGTGATTATTAAGATTTTAGTGACCATTTCTGACAGGTGAACAGAATTAGGGAACTTCCGCAGAATACTAAGATAGTAGCTACACATACGGACAGTCCTGATGTGAGACTTTTAACTTATCTTTTTTGTGCTTAATATTAAACTGATTTAATGTTTGTCGGTTGATTTCACTTTTTTTTTTAACAAAAATAAAAAATTTCAGGTTTTGATTTGGGATGTTGAGGCCCAACCTAACCGCCATGCTGTGTTTGGGGCTACAAACTCTCGTCCAGATTTGGTATGTCTGTTCCATACATTTTTCTTGTTCTGAATGTCTTTTTTAATCTCTGTTAGTTGTTTGTTTGTTCTTGTGCCAGATCACCTTATTTGCAATTTTCATGTACTACCAAATTAATGATAAAAGCATGATGTCAATGGTTGTGTATGTAATCTGAGCCAGATTTAGGAGAGTCCTTGGTCAAATTATGAGCAAGTGATTATCACTACAAATGTTCTTACATTTTGGACAAGTTGTGCACGTGAATGTTTTATTTTATTTTAAATAAAGGGTGTATAAGAATGGTTCGTTGGTCTTGATTTGAACATCCTTGCATTGTAACTTCAACTTTGCTTAGCTAGTTTTAACAATGTACACTCGGAGAATTTTTCTTGTGGAACTATATTGACAAGCATCCCCTGTGTTAATTATTCAATTTTTTTTAAAAGTCTTTTAAGATTCAATACCTGTTAATTTAAGTAGTCTTCTTCTTGCAGATTTTGACTGGACATCAAGATAATGCAGAGTTTGCTCTTGCAATGTGCCCAACGGAGCCCTATGTCCTATCTGGAGGTTGGCAGTCTCTGTTGTTTTTTTTCCCATTTAATTTTTATTATCAATAAAATTTGTGGCTGGTGTTTTTATATGATGATAGCATCAAGTTTTACTCGTCTAATTTAGAAAGTGTTCATTATTCGAGCAACTTTACATTACACGTCACGCGACAAAACTTTAGTTCATGCCTAAAAGCTTAAAATAAATTGACTTATTATTAAGTTATTCTCCCTTAAAAATAAAGATTGTTGTCGCAGGGAAAGACAAGTCTGTGGTGTTGTGGAGTATTCAGGATCATATATCAGCAACAGCCACCGACCCAGCTGCAACCAAGTCTTCAGGTGCAGGGTCAATCATTAAAAACACCAAATCCGGGGAAGGTAATGACAAAGCTGCTAATGGCCCTACTGTTGCTCCACGAGGAATTTACTATGGGCATGAAGATACAGTTGAAGACGTGACATTTTGTCCATCTAGGTAACTTGAAAGTGGATTTATAGATTTTGCTACATGGATTTTTATTTTTACATAAAGAATTTGTTGCTTCTTGTCCTCCTGTTTCATGTCTAGTAGTGTGCCTATTGTCTACTATCATTTTGATAGCTTTATGTAATGTGTATATTAACTTTTTGAAGTTGTGATGTGGCCTTTCGTTTCTGATGAGATTTTGCCCCCACTGAAGCTCGCAGGAGTTTTGTAGTGTTGGTGATGATTCTTGCCTTATATTATGGGATGCACGAGTTGGCTCTAGTCCTGTTATTAAGGTTTGGCCTCTTGATCATTTTCAGATTTATTTTTTATTGTTTAATGTGAAACCCACTCACCTAGTTACATAAGAAGGAATCAAGTGTCAGTGGGTGACTTCCAAACATATTATAAAATTGGCTCAACTCGAGTTTTCTGCATCTTTTATTTTAGAGTCTACTATTTGAGTACTGCTTCTTACGATATTGATGGTAGTAGTTATACTTGATTGTGGGAGCTAATCAATGCAGATTGAGGTGCAAGTGGATGCAGATAATTTTCATTGTATCAACCAAGTGTTTGGTTGTATTGCATTTTTCTATCTTGTAAAATTTGTGATACATGTTCTTGAGTTTGCTTCTCTTTTTTTTAATTTCAGGTTGAAAAGGCGCACGATGCTGATCTTCACTGTGTTGATTGGAGTCCCCATGATGATAATCATATTCTAACAGGGTATTTTTTGACATGGTTTCTCTTTCTGCTGGTTTTTTGACTTGATTGATTCTGGGCTTTGCTTCTTAATATTTTTCCGTAATAGGAGTGTTGGTTATATTATGTCTCCAGGTCGGCAGATAATTCTGTTCGAATATTTGATCGGCGGAATCTGACTTCCGATGGAGTTGGGGCACCTATTCATAAATTTGAAGGCCACAAAGCTGCTGTTCTTTGTGTTCAGGTAGTAATTTTGCAGCTTTTTTTTATTCTCTCATTTCCTATACTTGCAGGAAAGGGTGGGTATTTAATATACTGATAACTTTGTGTTCCAGTGGTCTCCGGATAGATCATCCGTTTTTGGAAGTTCTGCGGAAGATGGTCTCTTGAACATTTGGGATTATGAGAAGGTAGCATACTGATTTCATCTGTCCATGACTTGTGTAATAGATTTGTTAGCTGTAAATGACTTTTTATAAATGCAATTATTATAGGTTGGGAAGAAGGCTGAGCGAGCAAATCCAAGTTCTCCTCCGGGCTTGTTTTTTCAGCATGCTGGGCACAGGTTTCTAATTTTCCAGAGACCCCACTAATGAATTAAGAAATATCTTTTAATGCCTTTTCTAGTTATTTATCTTCTAGATGCAGAATTTGTTTTAGCCATGTAATTATTTATGTACCTTGAAGTGGGCTTCTTTTTTTTTTTTTCGGTCTAAAATCATCATTTATCAAATCCTAATATTCTCCTTGTACGGTTGTACCTTCATCTACTACCAGAATGAGGTCACTCCTTGTTGCTCTACTATTGGTTTTTGTGCCATATTACGGGACTTAATGTTGCTATGATTTTGTAATCATGTCTTAATGTATTTTTAATTTATCACCTTGGTGAATTTTTATTTTAACCTTTGCTCTTAGTCAACTTTTTATCTTCACCGTGTCATTCATTTCATGCAGAGACAAAATTGTTGATTTTCATTGGAATGCATCTGATCCTTGGACTATTGTTAGTGTGTCTGATGACTGTGATACTACTGGTGGAGGAGGGACATTGCAGGTACCGGAATGCTTTTATCTCGTAACTTTTGCCTACTTTTAAGGCTTTTGTTTTTTTGACTGTTTTAAGCGTGAAACAATACTTGCAAGAATTAAATTCCACACGAGCATGATGGAGAATAAAAATGATATGATTAACAAATAATCTCGTTTTGAAAGAGACAAAACGCAATCTTTGCTTCCTGGTCCCACAAAGCTTAGCCATGTATCGTCCGTCGATAACAAAATGCCTTGATTTGGCCGTGCAGATATGGCGGATGAGCGATTTAATCTACAGGCCAGAGGAGGAAGTTTTGGCGGAGCTTGAGAAGTTCAAGTCGCATGTCGTGGCATGCACTTCCAAGGCTTGAAAGAGCAGAAATTATTAGATTGCTGAAAGCGTAGCTATATCAATGTGTGTCTGTACGCATCTAGGTATTACGTTTTAGATAGGTAGGGATGCTTGTTTAGTTGCAATGTTATAGATTTTATTGTTAGCTTTTCAAATTGCGGGAGATGAATTTTTCCACCTTCCAAAGAGTGTTTTTTATTCCGAAACCTTTTTGCCGTATTAAATCCTTGTTTTATATCTGGGACGACTAGTTTGGTTCTTGCTAGAGCCCGACAGTTTGGTATCTTGGAATTTAATCTTTGAGCGTTTGTATGGGTAGAACTACTTACCATTTTCTTTTGAGGATGTCGTTTCAATAAGGAACGCCGCTTTTAAAGAAATGGTATTCAGTAATCATTTCCGTGGAAAGATTCGAGCCTAATTCATATGCGAAGCCCATTCGCGGGTTCGCGGGTTTGAATTATATTTCAAACATTTTTGTGATAATATTTTTGCTGATAAAATTTTAAATTTTTATTCAAACTTTGTGGTTTAAATTTATGAACCAAACGGGCGTGTACATAACGATATTTCATACGTGCTGATATCTTTCAATGTGTTCTTCCACACATCTCTGCGGTGCCCTTGCCGCCGCGGTAGACTAGCCACCTGATTGCCTCTTTTCTACGGCAGCTGTGCCGTTTTGGGGGATCTCCTCTCAGCCCAGCCTTGCCCTCTCTGCGTGGGGCCGCCTTCTGTGGGTTTCTTTGCCCTTTCGTGTGGGTGTGGATTATTTGCGGGTCACTTTGGATTCCTGTTCGGATCCCCTTTGTTTTTCGGAGCTGCTGCTCCTTGTGGGTGAGGTTTGTCTCTGTTTTTGTCATCTATTTGATATTGTGTGGATTGTTTGTGGTGATAGAGAGTCGCTGCTCCTCTTTGGACTGTTCAAGTCTTTGCTTTCTTGGAATTTGTCGTGCTCTTCCCAGTGACTTCGTTCTCCTTTCAATTTCTGGTGTTGGGTCTCTTTGTTTGGTCTGGTTGGTGGGTTACTAACACTCTGGTTCGATTTCCCTCTGCTTGTTTCTCAGCTATTTAGCCTTCTTGGCGGGTTGCTCGCACTCTGGTTCGATTTCCCTCCGCTTGTTTCTCAGCTATTTAGCCTTCTTGGCGGGGTTGCTCGCTGTTTTTCGGCTATTCGGCTTGGTTGGCCTAACCCTGTAATGCTAATCCTCTCGTGGAATTGCCGTGGTCTCGCTAGAGACTCGGCTTTTCGGCTCTTCGGGGGTATGTCGGGGAACTCAAACCTAACTTAATTTTCTTAATGGAGACTAAAGTGATAGTTAGCGGCCATTACAAAAGTAACGGCAACGGAAATGCAGGAATAGCTTTTGTGGTGCGAAATTCCCTTGGTGAACCTTTGCTGGCTTGGGCTGGGGTGTTGAAGGCTCATTCTGCTTTTCGAGCAGAGATTATGGCTTGCACTAGATCTCTCCAAGAGATTCAGTTCAGAGGTCTGCAGAACATGGTTATGGAAAGTGATTGCTTGGAGTTAGTTAATGCGCTGACTCAGGATCTGCAGTGCCCACAATGGGATGTTATTCCACAATTTGTTAATTGTTTAAACTTGTTTAAAGAACTTCAAAAGGATTTGTTTGTCTTGGGTCCCAAGAGAATGTAACAATTTGGCAGACAGTATTGTTAAGGCTTAGTTTGGTAGTGATTTAAATTTTAGAAAAATTGCTTTTAGTTATACCGAAAGAAGAAGCAACTATTACAAAAAGTAATTGTGTTTGGTAAATTATAATTATAGTAGCTGTGCTGGTTTCAAAATCGATATAATAGCGTTTGATAAATTATGAGGTTGAATTATTGTGTATAGTTAAAAATTACAATATTATATTATACTATAGCATAATATATATATATATATAATTACAATATAATATATATTTATTATTATATTTAATATAATATGATTATGATATAGAATATAATACTATTTGTTGATGGTGGAATTTTGTCAACAAGACCTTACCAGATTACCCCACGGTAGCCCGTTGGGTTACCGATTTCGAACTTATGATTTCACTGAATATGCTGGAATTTGTAGTAGGGTTTTTGCTAGGTTATGAAGTAAGTGAGATTATGCTTATGAAAGTAAGAACACACAAGAATTTTATAGTGGTTCACTCTGTTAATCAAGAGCTACATCCACTGTATTGTATTTCTCTTGTCTTTGTTCTTACAAGTTACATACACGTAAAAGAAAAATCCATCCCCCTCTCTCTCGGGGGCTCTTCCCTTTTATAGTGGATATTGCATGAGTCTCTGCCCAATGGTAGGCGGTTTGGACCATTTTATTAAACAAATATATTATAATTAATATATTATATAATCATAACGTGTGTAATACACTATAATATATAATAATATTAGAATTATAAGATTATATTAATATTTAATTATATTAATTATTATATTATTATTATTATAATAAATATAATTATATCAAAACAATATACTATATAATATATTACAAAATAATAATTACAATATCATATTATATGATAAAATAATAATATCATAGTTATTAATATAATTATGATATTATTTGTTACAATATTACTTTATATTATATTATATTACGAGTTTGAATTTTAGATTGAAAAGATTGTAAATTTTAAATTTTATTAGGAGTATTATGGGTATTATTAAAGTTTCATTAATTGTATTATGCGAATTCCCGCACAGTTTAAAAACTAAAGTTGTCTTTAGGCTGTTTTTTATTTTAACTGTAGATTTTTAAAAAAAATTTCAAAAAGCTTTTGAGAAGATTTATCAAATATTAAAATTAACTTCTGCTACAAATAAAAGTTGATTTTGAGATTAAAAAATAATACTAAACTAAGCCTAAGTGGGCTAGATGTGCAAACTTCACTCGTTTTGTGTCTTTTGGGATGGTAGGCCCTCTTGTCTTTACCACGTTGCTCAACGAGGTTTCTCAATAAAAATCCATTTGATGGGCCAAAAAAAAAGGCATGTACATAAACAGTGCAGGGTTTAATATACCTTCCGGCATTTATGAAGGATGCCTTTCTCAGTGTCTTTAAAAGCCACAAGGCTTAATGACACGGATGGACTGTTTTAAAGATTAATATTTAATTATTTAAAATGAAATAAATAAGCTTAAAAGATAGTGTCCTTTTCTCATCTATTCCTGCGGGGTTGGTGTTTTATTTATTTGGTTTTATGGTGGTTGGTAACTTTACCACACTAGTCAATTATCAAAAAATAATAATAATAATAATAAATAAAAACTTTACCACATTAGTCTCTTGAATGGAACAATCATGTCGTTTTCAGTCGCATGTCCTTTCACCAATCCTTGAGATAGCACGCGACAATTTTCTACGGACGAATCTCGAATCGGCCATGACAAGTTTCTATCGGCAAATCTCTACTGTCGTTTGCTCTATAAATTCAAGTGACGAGACACGAGTCCTTGTTGTTGACGCTGTAACATACGGATGTCAATTATCAAAACAAAAAAACATACAGATGTCGTTTTGTGAAAAGTCGTATGTGAAATCTACACTATCGGTTATAGGCTCCTAATATTCACCCTGCTTGAAAAAATAATAATAATAAAGTGGTAATGAAGACAATAATATGTTATGATTCTTATGTGGAAATGAGCACAAAGGATGACTAAAAAAAGTCTATGGAGGGACGAACCGGTGAGTCACGACCATGCACACATTTTGGTCAAAGTCAAACCACTTGTGGTTGATCAAGTTACGCCAAGGAAATGTACTCTGGTTAGTCCAATGAGGAATTACCATGTTTGTATCAAGAACGGACGTCTTAGTCGGATTATTGAGAAAAACAAGAGGGTTTAACCAGTGAGAAAATATCACTTTTTAAATTCTTTTATTTGTTTGAAAAAATTTTATATTGGTACCCTGTGTTATATAGTGTAATTATCTTTTAGTACAATGTATTTTTAATAATTTTAAATTGATATCTTTACGTTTTAAAAAATTATTTTTAATACATTGAGATCATTTTTTAGGACGTAAAATGTCAAATTTATCATTCTCATTACTTTAACAAAAACTAATAAATTTAAAAAAAAATTGAAAAAAATAATATTTTTAATTTCAAGCATTGTTTTAATTTTTAATTTTTAAATGTTTAAAAAAATTCAAAATTTTTCTAAATTTATTATTAATTTTTTAGTTAATTAATGAGAGTGATAATTTTAACATTTTACATTTCAAAAAATGAACTTAAAATACTAAAAAATGATTTTTTATCAATTTAAAATTATTAAAAACACATTATACTAAAAGACAAATATGTTAAAATATAAGATATCAATATGTAATTTTCCCTTTTTTTAAAATTTGTCTTGTGTGTGTAGTAGAAACGAATGATCACGTTGCACCAATTGAAAGATGTTCAAGTCATAGTGGGTGAAGAAGACACAATAATATTCATGTGGAATCCGTGGCACGAATTAAGACAATTCTAAGAAAGATAATATTCAAGAAGAATTATAGTTATGAGTTATGACCTGTCTATGGTAGAGCCTATTAGTCAAAGATACTGTACTACAATCGTGTCACAAACACAAAATCATGATTTTTTATTGCTAATCTCGATTATACAATTATTATTGTCTTCTAACGAAGTATTATTTTTGCACTTGGGGCGTCCAAACTTTTTTGACATTTGGGTTTCTATTTTGAGAATTTAGACAATTAAGGATTTGTTTAATTTGTTGATTCAAATTTTTAATTCTAGTTGAGATATGACTTTATATGAAAGTTTTTTACTGTAATAAAAAAGTTAAAAATAACTACTTTTGAGAATTTTTTTACTATAACAAAACTCAAATTGTAAACTCAAATCAGTAAAATGAATATAGCCTAAATTCTCAAACTCCTATTTTCTTTAACTTTTAGATTCTTATTTCAAAATTTTAGGTAACTGGGTCCCCAAACTCCCACCTTCTTGCGCCTTAAGTCCTCAAAAACTTATTTTATGATGGAATAGTCTCAAAAAACTTATTATCTTTTAACATGTGATTAAATGGACTGAAAATCATGGAGTACAAATGAATTTAATTTTGCAGAAGCTATAATCAGTTAACTTTATTTACTATTTTTGCCTTAGAAACTAGATTAATATTTGAATTCATTAAATCAATGTAAAAGAAAAATCAAGTGGCTTGTGAAATCTCATTAAAATGAACATGTTACAATGTATCCTTATTCATGACTTATGTCTCTAGAATATTGATATGGTAAATGTTTTAGAGTTTTTAAATATTTATTTTGGATTTTTTTTTTAGGAAATTTTGGTTTTCTACTTTTCACATTTATTTTAAATGTGAAATACAAGTTTCAAACAAAATAAAAGTGAAGATTTAAGGGATAAGTATGAGAAGATCAATGTGTGATATTTTAGATCTATAGTTATTTGACATGATAGGTTAACAGAAAATTGAATTTTATGGGAGATTCAAAATCAATATTCTAATTGCTTCTGATCACTTCAAATTTAGGCAAATTAGAGGAGATAATTTTGTTTTTCTTTTCTTCCTCCTATATATAAAATTATAAGAGAATATCCTCTCTTTTCACTCTCCGTTTTGTTAGCTAAGTTATTTATCTCCTTTTCTTTTCAATTTGTTCTCTTCTTGTTGGACATAACCTTAATGATTAAGTTCTATATTAGATTATTTATGTACTTTTTTATCATTAAGTTATCATCATAATTGAAATTCCATAAAAATAAGCAATAAAAATTTGAAGAAGAATAAGAATAACAACAACATAATATATCCATATTAAAGACAACACGATTGGGGGCTTTTAAAAAAACAAAAAAAAAACAAAAAAAAAACAAATTTTTTTTTTTGTTGGGACTTGAGGTGCAAGAAATCCTTCAAATGTTGAGCTTTCATGGCATTTGAAGTGTAAAAAAGAAAAGAAAAATCATATGGTGACTAACGGTTGTCAAGAAAATGTGAGTTTTGGGACCTAGTTTTCAATATTTTAAAATAAAGACCCAAGGACAAAAAAGAATTGAAATTTGGACTCACAATTGTCTAAAATTTTAAGTTGGAGACACAAGTACTAAAAATTGACAAGTTCAGGGACCTTGAGAAAGAGAAAATTGACTCATTTTAGAAGCTTCGCGCTTTCAGGACAAAGACGAGTCCAAAAAATCGATTTCATGTTGAAAATTGACTATTTTAGAAGATCTGTTCATTTCGCTGATTTAAGTTTGTAATTTGAGTTGAGATGTGATTTTATGTGAGAGTTTTTTATTGTAGCAAAAAAGTTAAATGTGACTGTTTCTGAGAACTTTTTACTGTAATAAAATTTAAATTCTAAACTCAAATTGGTGAAGCGAACGATACCAGTATTATGAGCAAATGGAGAGAGGCATTATGGGCCGGCTACAAAAAGCAAAACTTCGTAGAGTTGACAAGTTGTTTGTAGAATGCTGACTACTAAGTGAAGACTTTCCCCTTCGCTTTAGTAAGGGAAAATTATTTATATTATATATAGAGAGAGAAAGAGACTTCTCACTAGAAATGAATAGAAACATCTTAACATCATGACTAACAAGTTAGATTACAAATCTTAATTCTATAAATTACAAGGTAATAGACTTAAAACTCAGAATTTACTGACTTATATTAATCTTCTTCAAAATAAGCTGATCATATTACTTAAGAATGAATAAATTTATTAAAATTTTTACGATAAGGTATTTTTTTGTCCTACTGGTAGAACGAGTTTTTGTAGCTATTGGACAAAATTTTAATGATTGGATCAATATGTGAAACAGTTTTTGTGTTCAATAATGTGTCATTTTAACATTTGCACTCATAGATTCGATCACTAAATTTCATCTGACGATTAAAAAGACTTACTCTATTAATAGAGTAAAATAATTTATGCGTTTGAAACTCGTTTTAAAATAATTTTATTTTTTGTATAAAAATAAAAATAAAAACATTTTTAATCTTAGATATAAATTATTTTTAAAAATACGTTTGGTAGTTTTATCAAAAGATTATTTTGTATAAAAAACCCCAATAATGTCCTTCTCTCTGCTCGAGAGAGGAGAAAACGAAAATAAAAAATGAAAAATAACTAAAAATTATTTTTCATTTCTCTCTCATTTTACACTAAACTAAAATTTTTTTATTTATTTATTTTTTATCTTTAATTATGTCAAACTCCGTTTTGAAATCGTTTTTTTTTTCTCAAAAAAAGTGAAAAACAAAAACAAAAACAAAAAAAATTCCAAACACGACAAACATGTCATTCTTTTTACTGTTGTTACAATCTTTTAGAAACTATAACATATTTTTGTAAAACTTTTCGGTTACTGTGGTTAGGGATGTGAATGTGTCTCTTGAACATCAGAAATTTTGCGTTAATTTTAATACGAGGTATAAAACTGTTAAATAATCAAAATCCAGGGAGTAATGTGCCAGAAAAAGCTCGGAGGACTAAAATAATAAAAATGATCATAGTTCAAGGGCTAATATTGCAAACTTAAATTTGTTGGTGGAAGAAAGTTTTACGAAATTGGGCTTTAATTAGGCTTACGTGTCAAATGGGCCCACATGGAGGAGCCATGTACCGTGTTGGTGGGTGCGTATGCCCGCCGACCTACTTCCCAATCCAACGTGTCCGAGTGCGGCGAGCAGCGCGGTCTCAGCCCACGATCGCCACACCCACAATTCTCTCTGTCCCCCTTAACACACGCGCCCCATTTCCACGCTCTCCTCCTCTCTCTCTCTTTTTTTGTTTTGTTTTGTCTTTTTTTTTTCCTTCTTTAATAGCCTCCTACGATATCTTATTACTAGCGTCAACGTCAATCGTATTCGTAGCCTGGTAGGCTTGTAGGCATCAGACTGTAGTTTCGTATTTCTCGTAAATGACATTTTTACCCTTTTCGTACAATGTATTTTCTTGACACGTGAATTCTAATTTCTAAAACTAAAACGGTTGTTGGAAAAACTAGAATTCGTGTCACGTGTTATATTTTAATTATTTATTTTTAAATTTATAATTAATTTAAACACAATTTGTAACATAAAATTAATCTGTAAATTTGAAATTAATACAAAAATTATCTACTTTTAAGGCTCGTTTATTCACTGATTCGAGTTTTTAATTTGAATTGAGATGTGACTTTATATGAGAGTTTTTTATTGTAAAAAAAAAAATTAAATGTGATTATTTATGAGAACTTTTTACTATAAGGACATTTAGAAAGAAACGATTAAAAATAACTTAAAATTCATAATACACTGCCCCGTTCACTTGGCTGATTCGAGTTTAGAATTCGAGTTTTTCTACAGTAAAAAGCTCTCACAAACAATCACATCTAACTTTTTTATTACAGTAAAAAGCTCTCACATAAAGTCACATCTCAACTCAAATTCTAAACTCGAATCAGCGAAGTGAACGGGCAATAACATCCATTAAAATTAAGCAAATAATAGTATAAGATTTTAAATATAACTATCATGATAAATAAAATAAAAAATATGTAATGAAAAATATATGTATTTTTTAATTTTTTACGAGTTTCGTGTCGTGTTCGGACTAGGTGGGTCCAACCTAAAATTGACTCGTGTTTTTCATGTCAATTTCAAGTCGATCTAATTCTGATCCGAACATCTTTTTTCTCAACCTTAACCCGCAAAATTCATGTCATTTTCGAGTCGTATTGTCGTATCGTGATCCATATTACCGGCCTTACTTTTTAATAATCTCAAAGTTATTAATTTCTTATAAACAAATCTCTTTACGGGAGATAAAATATACATGTTGAACAAGTTAAAATTCTCGATCATGTATATTTACGCAAATTTCAACACAAGACAATGTGAATCTTGCATCAAATTCTATAAGGATTGTGAGTAGCGTTTTCTATTTCAATGCACAAGTTAAATTTTAAAAGGTGACATGAACTAGAAAAAATAAAGAGCAATGAAAACTTGTTTGTTTCTTCTTTTCAAATGTTTAAATAAGACAAATCAATATAATTATTGTCTTCCTATATTTTTTGTTTTGAAAATTCTTTGTATAAAATTTCATCATACCATAGGGACTAAAATCACATTAATATTGCGTTATAATCTAACATCTACACACATACATCTGTCCTCCTTTTAATAGGCAACGTATTTTCCTTTCTTATAAATTCAATTAAAAAAGAAAACAAAATCGAGGATAAGACGCCAAATCCAGATTACCCTTCTCTAAATGCTTCCTTCACCAACTCACTTGTCATTTATTTATTATTCCTACAGAGATAATTCTCGTTTCCTAATCACCGCGTGGGTATAATAGGAAATTCAACAGAGAAAACGCCACTGTTTTTCGCGTGTACGAACACGCGCCTGCAACGATTAAGAAACCTCGCTGGCATTTTTGTCTTTTCCTCTTCCATCCACGATTTCCCGCCGTCTATTCGTATCTTGACACGTAACCAAATACCACGTGGCACACTTTTTCTTGCCTCGTTGGCACCAACCTCCTAGCCCTCACCGTCCGATTACGCACAAAGCACAAATCCTTCAATCCAACGGTCAATATTCTAAACGGTGATGCTACTAGTAGGACCCACCGAAAGATGGGTCCAGTCCAGATCCTTCCTTTCCTGGGGATTCTCTCGGAACCTAACAAACTGTACGTATCGGTGAAATACAACGTGTATATATATACACACACACTCGAAAATGCAACACTGGAAATACTCGCTCTCTTCTCTGTCTCTTGCTTTCTCTGTTGAAATGAAGGACAGACGTAGGAGATCACCAGAAAACAGCGAAGAGGAGGAGAGAGAGACGTCGCCGGAGGCGAAGAGGCAGCAGCGAGAGGACGAAAGTGACGACGTCGGAGAGGACATTATGGCGTGGCTGTCGATGGAGGAGTACGAGGAGGAAGAAGAGAATCGGCTGATTGTGGAGCTTCTGGAGGCGGAGAAGGGCTGCGCGGCGGAGGCAAACAAGGTGAGGTTCACTGAGAATCCGTACTACCGTTCGACGTCGCCGGCGAGCGTCTTCCAAACGACGCCGTCGTCATACGTCACCATTAACGGCAACGAGGAGAGCTGCGGCTCGTCGTTCTCCGACTGGGACTCTTCCGTCATGGCCAGCGTCGACATGGCCAGCTTCTCCGCCGCCGGGTCCGAGCTGTTCGCTAGCGGGTTCACGGCGGATATGGACGGAGCGTGGGGAGGACGCGCGGAGGAGGGGTTTGGCGGCGAGTGGGATGGGTTGGACCTCGACGACGATTCGCTGACGGGGTTTTTGGGTGAGATCTTTCCGGAGCAGTCACTAGCGTAGGGGAGGCCAGCGTCGACATGGCCAGCTTCTCCGCCGCCGGGTCCGAGCTGTTCGCTAGCGGGTTCACGGCGGATATGGACGGAGCGTGGGGAGGACGCGCGGAGGAGGGGTTTGGCGGCGAGTGGGATGGGTTGGACCTCGACGACGATTCGCTGACGGGGTTTTTGGGTGAGATCTTTCCGGAGCAGTCACTAGCGTAGGGGAAGCCGGTAGGGGCATTTTAGACATTGGACAGGTTTTTTTTTTTTTTTTTTTAAATTTTTACGTTTTTTGGGGGGGTTTGTTTACGGGGTTTTTGGGTGAGATCTTTCCGGAGCAGTCACTAGCGTAGGGGAAGCCGGTAGGGGCATTTTAGACATTGGACAGGTTTTTTTTTTTTTTTTTTTGAAATTTCTACGTTTTTGGGTGGGTTTTGTTAATGGTGTTGGGTGGTGATTAGGTGACATAAATCAGTAATTAGAAGTAGAAGAGTGATTAGTGATAGGATTTTGTTTTGTTTAAAAATGTGAATAGAAAAGGAATATAGTGGAGTAAAAGAGGAAGCATTTTGCTCATCTACTTTTGTCTTTCTATGGTAATAGAAGCGTGCATGGTAGAAAAAAGATGGAAAGTTTTATTTAAAAAAAAAAAATACGTTGTCTTTACTCCTTGTTTTGTTTGTGTCAATTTTCTTTCCATTTCTCATTTCACTGCAAAAAGGCATACGGTACTCAGAACATGCATTAACCATTACCGTAGTTTTTCCATATTTTGATTCGTCCTTTCGAACCAAACTTTTTTTTTTATTATTTATTTTTGTTGCTTCTTTTCCGTTTCTTTTGGGTCCATATGATTATTTTATAAGTTTGGCATGCAAAAAGAGGGTAGATGGAGTTGGCCAATGGGTTAAAACAGATAAAACGTGGTTTTGATGGAAATGGGTTTTTGGCATTTTGTGTTTATAAAAAAATGTTTTACATTTGGTCTCGATTCTCGGGTGTCTCGTGGAATCTTCTAAGGACCCCTCGGAAGCACGTGTAATTTATTATATATATATATATATTTTAAATAAAAAAGGGTAAGCAAAGCAAACATTTTCTTCTAATTGAAGAGGGAAAGGCCAAAAGTAGAGGGGGCCAGTGGCAGTGTACAGAGCCGACTGCCACTGGCTTATTATATGTTAGAAAAGAGAAATTGCCTGTTTTGTTATTATGGAAAATAGAAATGGGTCAAAATCCAAGAATGTCATGGAATCGCCATATAGAAATTGTGAGAAAGCCAAAATGCATGGAAACCCATCATCACTATTCACTACTGCCTTGTTGGTCCACCTTCCAATGCACCGTTTCGCTTCTCAGAGCATTGTTAAATTCTCAATTTAAATTTTTAATTTGAGTTAAAATGTAATTTTATATGAAAATTTTTTATTATAATAAAAAAATTAAATATTATTATTTTTTAAAAAATTTTATATAATAAAATTTAAATTTTAAATTTAACTCAGTAAAATAAATAGAATTTTAATCTACTAACTAGGTCATTAGAATTGGCCCTGCCTTGGGAACGCACAGGTTTTTTTTTTTTTTTTTTTTTTTTGGTCCACACTTGAAATTATCATGTTTATATAAGCCCTCCGGCATTTTCAGCAAAAAAAAGCCCTTAAGCATCCTCAATCTATACTTATATAGTGTGCATTTTTACATGCACGACAATGTAGTATATACATTTGACTACTTAAAAATATGCACTTTCATGTAAAACCATACTATCACTTTATACTTATAGAATGATAGTAGTTTTTGATAACTTTATTTCATGTCTGATCATATCAATAGATGATTAGATAACTGTTACTCAAAAAATATACTTTTTTTTTTCTCTCAAATGCTAAAATAAATTTAGTCAAAAAAAAGTATTACAATGATTGCAAATTTACAGGTATAACTTAGCAGTAAATTTACGTCTATAAATAAAGTTAGGAGTTCGAATTCTTCAACCCCAAATAAGAGAAAAAGAACATACTATATTCTAATGCAATTGGAATAGGATTACCATTGTATATTGTCAGTGACATCCAACAATGATATTTCCTCTCACCATGCTTTTTCCAAACTATTGCAGCATTGTTTATGAATACTTTTCCACGAAAATTTTTGTGGCAAACATATTTTTCCATGAAAATTGCAGCATTGTCCATTCGTCATTCAACCCATAGGCTGTTTATTCAATGAGAGAATTACATGTTTTACCCCATAATTACCAAACCACCTAATTCTACTCTTTTAAAAAAATTATACCCCTTTTATTTATATGAGATATTTTCATTACAAATTAAAAGACTAAAATACCCAATAGATTATGGATCATAACATGATGGATCATATTATGATTGATGCCAGTGACTGGAGTAATCTGTCAGGTTATGGCCAGAGATTCGCCGATCGCCAGTGTAATCTGTCAAGTTATGGATCATAACCTAAACAGGTTATGGCCGGAGACCCGTTGGTAACCGATGTAATCTATTAGGTTATGGCCGCCGGCCGGCCAGAGACCTACCGGTAGCTGATGTAATCTGTCAGGTTATTGATGAAGACCTACCGGTGGCCTGTGTAATATGTTAAGTTATGGATAATAATCTATCAGGTTATGGTTGGTGGCCGGCCGACGACAGGAGACCGCATGCATATCTTGTAATTTACCAATGGACCATTGAGGGTAACTTTAGAATTTTAAAAATGTTTAATTTAACTATTTTCATTATTTTAATTGTAAAATGGTAGAAATCAATGAGCTAATTTTTAGGGGTTAGAAATAGATTAAGGTACCTATTTGAGTGGAATTCCCCTTGTTTTCTCTTATTCAATTCATCTTTGAGCCTTCCAATGAAAGCTTATTGTTAACTCATTTTGCCCAACTTGGCCAGACCAATGTAGGGTATGTTCATTTGTACAGTTCAAGTCATGACTTGATTTGTGTATGCGAAAGAAAAATACTATAGCGAAAAAGTTAAATTTAAATTTTTGTGAGAATGACTTTAACTCATGAACAATGCCGTAGTGTCTTTTCTAGAGAGTCAACCAACCCAAGAATCAAGATCATCGTTTAGAAGACTAAGCCGAACACAATGGGCCAGTAAAAAAGCCTAGCCCAAGCCAAAACAAAGGCCCATTTGGGTGTTGCTAGATTAGAGCCCTCACCAGATTCAAAGATTTGGTCCTTTGTTTTTCCTGTCGTATAGTCAAATTACAAATAATAGGATAGAAGCTCAAACTCCCTGAGCTCCATTACTGAAGGTCCCTAAGCATTTCTTCATTTCCGTTTCTCTGTTTTTACAATAAATAATTAAATATATATATATATATATATACATGTAATAAATAATTGAATATATATATATACATGTATTTTAGTACTATTGGTAAATTGGTAATATAAGAAATATATACTTTAAACTGCCGCATAAAATGGTGAAATTATTTTTTTTCTCATCCTTTATTTATTTAACTTTTTTGTTTTCTCCATATGACAAATAAAAATTCTCGTTTACTAACACAATCACCAATTATGAGTGCCAACGGCACTCATAAAATATAAATTTTGGAATTGCATGCAAGGATACATTAAATGTCCAAAATTAAGGGACAATTTGTGGCTCGAGAACCCTAATCTTTAGGGCCTCTGCCTTTGATCCTTCCATACAATAATCTTATTTATGTTGACACTGGTGAAGCAAATAAAAGGAGTGACAAATAAGATTTGGCTTTTTCTTTGTAAGAGGTAAGTTATCCTATTCCTACCCCTATGCCATTGGAACCAGTAAAATCACAAAAGCAAATTTATAAAAAAAAAAAAAAAAAGAACAAAGCCAAACTCTCGAACACTGCATGATGTAAATGTATCGATCTTCTCAACCATATGCAAAGTTAAAAACATTATAAATACAAATACAAATAAAATAAAAATGGTGATCAGAAAAGGAAAAGTGAAAGCCAACAAACAATTAGGCAATGATGCAAAATCCATGGCTACTTTTGTACCCCATCCCAATCCCATCATTCTCCTATCAATTCCTTCCTCCTCTCAACAAAAAGAGTAATATGGGGTCTCAATCATCAATGTCAGGCTCACCAAAAGCAAATCGCACACATTTTCATTTTTCTTACCGGCATAAAAACAATAAAAAATTAAGTCTCATTTATTTTATTACTTCGAATCATATTTAAATTTTTATTAAGGGTTTTCTTAAAAAAAAAAAAAAAAATCAATCAAATTGAATCTCTCTAGCGTTTCAAGTCCTCCAAATGCACGTGATCCTACTCAGAACCCTCGGATCCAAGCTGCAGTGCTCAAGAAATTAAACTTTTATCACGAGAGACGATGAGGAGTATTATTTGGTACTCAAGGCTTTGACTTAGCTTGATTAAGCTTTGATAATGATGCATCAACTTAAGTTATAATAATTAATCTCTTATGCTAATTGCCTAGTTAATGATGTTTTGGGGTGAATAAGTTTTACTCTACCATTGCAACTGATGAAAGCCATTAAGATAATTTAAGGCCCGTTTAATTGTATTGATTCGAGTTTTTAATTTAAGTTGAGATGTGACTTTATGTAGTAAAAAAGTTAGATGTGACAGTTTTTAAGAGTATTTTACTATAACAAAATTCAAATTTTAAACTCAAATTAATAAAATAAAAAGAATCTTAATATGCTTCATTACTAGACGACGTTAAAAAGACGCTAATGAAGTATTATTCTCACTTCATCGGTGCAAAGAGCGTTATTGGATTTAGAATAATAATCTTTCTTTTGCAAATAAATAAATAAATAAATACAATGTTCGGCCAAACGATTACTTGGTGCATGCTGATTGGAGATTAAGAAAAACAGTTGTGATTTGCTTTCCATCTCAAGTAAAACTTATAGTACTTTCAATGTTTGAAGGAATAAAGAAAAAGAAAAAGTAAAACTAGTAGAACAAACAATTGATTGTCAATCAAAAGCGTTGTAAAGAAGACATCTAGTCAACTTTTTTTCCACCTTAAAGTTTCTTAAAGAAAAATCCCAACTCCATTTATTCCCCATCCTTTTGTGTTTTAAATTTACCTCTAAGGCTACTTTCATATCCGCACTGCCTTTGATGAAGATTTCAATGAAAGTATGGATATCCTAAATAATTAAACGATAATCTTTTGTTAAAGGGTACGATTGATAAAAAAAATAATATTAATGATGGGTCACGGTAATAAATGCTATCTTAGTGCTTATTATGCCCGCCAAGATCCATCTCCAACCTTTATATCATAGGCATGCCATCCAAAAGTATAAGTTGACCACTATGTGGAATAGGCCAATAAGCACAAAGTCTTGGGAGATCTGACAATAATCTTAAGAAAATGTTATCTAATCTCATACAAAACTTTATGATAATTACATTTTGCCTTATGAAAGTGAAGGGTCTACATGCAAATGTTGCATTTTATATTGTAGTCTAGTAATATTGCTCGATGTGAACTTTATAACTTAATTGTTGAGCTACATATCCTTACAGACTAATTTTTTAACTTTTTTTTGTTGTGACATCCAGTTAAAATCATATCAGATTAAAAAAATATACAAAATAAATAAATTTTAATATAAATTTAACGGTTAAAAAAATTTATTTTTAAATAGACTATCAGGAAAAAAGCGCTAACAATAGAAGGAGGGAAAGGAAAAATGTCGACATTAAAAGGGGTAAAAAAAAAAAAAAAAAAAAGAGGAAACAAAAAAAACTTGTAAGACTTGGGGTTGTGTTCTAATATGTTCCAAACACCCACAGTCATGTTAATGACCTCACACTAAGACTGTCGACCAAGTGGTTAAAGATTGTTGGAGAAGAAGACCACCACGTGTCAAGAATTGTGGCCCCACCCAACGACGGCCCATCAACTGATGAGGACCATTGAATTGCTCAGTTGGTGGGGCGTCCCCTACCCAATTTATATATATTATAAGAAGTTTGGTGAAAGGCTCTATCAAAAACCTCTCATAAACACTAATAGCAAAAAAAATCCTCTCCTCTTTTGGCCTTTGCTCAACTTATTTAGCTCCAATGCTAACCTTCAATCTTCTTTTTTAAGCTTTAAGAGATCTTGACATTAACATAATAAGAGAGAAAATGGGGAAAAAAAAAAAAAAGTCTTTTGGATTTGGGTTGTGAGAGCAATTCAAAAGTAGACCCCTGTCTTTATTAGACAAATTATTATTTTTTATTTTTAAACAATTCAGGCTTTGAAAAAAAAAAATCTATAATAATACGCATAGACCCTCTTATAAATTCCTCATCACTTACTCAAAAATCTCACCTCAAAAGTCCACTCTCTCTTTACTACTCCTGCTACTGCCACTTCTTCTACTGCTGCTACTACTACTAATACTCTGTTTTCTTCCTTTCTTTTTGTCTCTCAATAAATCTGGTTATAATGGTGGCGAAGAAGCCGAGAATCGTGATAATCGGAGCTGGAATGGCGGGGCTGACGGCGGCGAACAAGCTCCACACTTCCTGTTCTCCGGCGGCGGCGTTCGAGCTCGTGGTGGTGGAGGGAGGATCTCGGATCGGCGGCAGGATAAACACGTCGGAGTTCGGCGGCGACAGGATCGAGATGGGCGCCACGTGGATCCACGGCATTGGCGGGAGCCCGGTCCACGAAATCGCCCGTGAAATCCACGCGCTGAGCTCCGACCAGCCGTGGGAGTGCATGGACGGCTCGTCGGAGGACCCGGCCCGGTTCACCACCGTCGCCGAGGGCGGCTTCGAGCTCGACCGGTCCCTCGTCGAACCGGTCTCCACACTCTTCAAGTCCCTCATGGACTACGCCCAGAAGAAAACGGTCGACCACAATGACTACTATAAAATTGCTTGCAAGTCTTCAAACGTTTTTCCCTCCACTAATGGCAGTCTCAGCGTCGGTTCTTTTCTGAGAAAAGGACTCGAGTTGTATTGGGGTTCGAAAGAAAAAGAAGAAGAGGAGGTTTTGGGGTACGGGAATTGGAACAGAAAGTCGTTAGAAGAAGGGGTTTTTCGAGTCCATGAAAACACCCAGAGAACTTACACTTCCGCCGGTGATTTGTTCACTTTGGACTACGTCACCGAGAGCGAATACCGTATGTGCTCAGGTGAGGAGATCACCATAGCAAAAGGGTATTTGAGTATAATTGAGTATCTGGCTTCTGCTCTACCACCTGGCTTGGTTCAGCTTGGGAAAAAGGTCAAGCAAATTGAGTGGCAGATTGAGAAGAATGGCTTGGAAAATGGCTATGGAAGCAGTGATAACGATAGTGAATATAATGATAGTAATAGGCCTGTGAAGATACACTTCTGTGATGGGTCTACTATGGTGGCTGATCATGTTATTGTGACGGTTTCATTGGGTGTGCTTAAAGCCGGTGTCCAAGAGAGCGGAAATATGTTCAATCCTCCTTTGCCTTGTTTCAAGACTGAGGCGATACAAAGGCTTGGTTTTGGTGTTGTCAACAAGTTATTTGTGCAGCTCAACAACAACAACAACAACAACAACAAGAGCAAGAACGACTTTCCATTTCTACAAATGGTGTTTCGCAAGGCGGATTCGGAGCTTAGGGAAGAGAAGGTGCCGTGGTGGATGAGGAAGACTGCTTCTATGTTCCCAATTTATGAGAATTCCAATGTGCTCTTGTCTTGGTTTGCCGGCAAGGAGGCTCTTGAGCTTGAGTCATTGAGGGATGAGGAGATCATAGGCGGCGTTTCGGCGACGATTTCTAGCTTCTTGGCCAAACCCCACGACAAGTTGTTGTGCAATGGGAATGGGAGTTTGGAGGAGGAGGAGAAGAACAAGTGGTATGAAGTGAAAGTGAAAAAGGTTTTGAAGAGCCAATGGGGAAATGATCCTCTCTTCTTGGGGTCTTATAGTTATGTTGCGGTCGGGTCGAGTGGAGATGATTTGGACAGAATGGCTGAGCCATTGCCGAGAATTGGAAGCCATGAATCTGCTAATTCACCTCCACTTCAGCTTCTGTTTGCTGGGGAAGCAACACACAGAACACATTATTCCACCACTCATGGAGCTTACTTTAGTGGTCTTAGAGAAGCCAACAGACTTCTCCAACATTATCACTGTGTCGGGGTTTAATGAATTTTAGGCCTTTTTTGCTTTTTTTTTTTGGAACATTTATTGCTATGATATTATTTTCATTTCCATCTACAATTTCTTTGTGTCTTTCTCTCTGTGAAGCTGGTGAGAGTGAGGGGAAAAAGAAAAAAGAAGTAAAATTAGGATGAGACACAGAAATTGGGGACATTTTTAGGTGTATTTTCATGCTGAACTAAAACAAGTATCCTTCTTTAAAAAATATATATATTGCCCCCTTTCTCTTTGTATGTGAGTAGTGGTATAGTTTTCTTTTCTGATTGAAATCTTATTATTAATCATCAAGCCAAAAAAACACGCTAGTGATTGTGTTTTTTTGACATTGGACTGTTTCAAAGTTTAGGAAGTACAAACAAACCCAAGTAAGCTTTGGATACCACCCACCCTCTCTCTCTCTCTCTCTCTCTACCAGGTGTTCTTGTTTTGGTTTTGGTTCCCTCTCTCTCTTCACCAGGTGTTCTTGTTTTGGTTTTGGTTTTGCCCAAAAGGACAGGATCCGACAAACCTGGCTCTTTCCAGCTAGGAGTCTCCTCAGCACTTCCTTTCCAGCTTATGGCAATTTGTGCTCTTGTATGCAAACAAAGCCCCTAAACACTTCCAACAGAGAATTCCAAGGCACCCTTTTGATGGAGATTGAAGAGCCCAAGCCATGAGACAAATTGGGACAATCAATGAGCTGGCCTAAGTTTTGTAATTCACATTGGAGTTGGAACATACCCACCCAATTCTTGGGTCCCATCTTTTTGTGCTTCATTGGGCTAAAGATGCGGGTCAATCAGACCACTAGACCACTACCAAATTGTCATTAACTCTACTACTAAAGGTAGTGTTGCTGTTAGGATACCTTTCATAATTTTTTCACCAAGCATGATGAGTTTAAGATTTATGAAACGTTTTGTTCATAGATTTATAACCATGCTTTATGACTCTGATTTTTAAAATTTAAATTTTTTATGAAAGAAAAATCCATGTAGAAAATAAAAAATCATGATTCAGAATTAGAGACGAACACTTAAAACAAACATCTCACTAATGTTCTAAATCTCTACTTTGAGGTCTCTGATGATATTGTGCATGATGCTAAGCTTGTGATGATGGAAGTGAAATTGATCCAATCGCTAGGAATGGACCAAGTCGTTTCCGATTTTTAGTGAACACATGAAATATGTGATAGATGAAGAGGATTGGGTTAAGATGAGGCCAATAATCTTTTTTTTTCTATAGCTAAAAAAAAATTGTATTTGAGTGTTATACAGAACCAGAGATGCTAATGTCTATCTTGGTTGCTTTTGCTAACTTCTTTTTTTTTTTTTTTTCTCAGAAATCCCTCTTGATCTGACCCGTCAAGGACCATACCACATTATCTTTGCACATTAGATAGGTGTCATGTGCCAGACACATACCCAAGAGGGGTTTTGATTTCTCTACAGTGCAAAACCATACGCTTTAGTAGAGACAGAAAATGATTGTCCACAATCAACACTAACAACCTAGGTATATAACAGGTACTCTGTCCAAACATGTTTATCTACCACATTAATCCACTCCCAGCCGTCGGATGGGAGATCCCGGGACTAATCAGTGGTTTAAGATGACCTCCAAGAGGATCCACGAGCCTTAGGGTCCGTTTGCTTGGAAGTATTTTTTGTTACGGTATTTTCTCTCAAACTTATGAATTGAACGGGACCAGGTGCCATTAATAAATGCCTCTGTCTGTATCTTTCATAACCATCAGAAGAACAGAGAAGATCATACGGATCATATGATCATCTAAAGGCTCTTCTATTATCTGCTCATCTTTTTATTGTGCTTGCCTTGGGTTGTTTTCCAGGCTATCTATTTTGCAACCATTGTATGGTCAAATCATGTGCAATTCATAGAGACTCTATTATTGTAAACATCCTTTTTTTTTTATAAATAATAATATTAAAAAAAAAAAAGAGGAAGGAAGTAGAATGGCCCACTTGCTGTCTCTTTTTGCCTCTTTGATGATATTGCGTATCACACAACGATCTGTGAACAATTCATTGTCTCATTCATAAACAAACAAATGAGAATCTCCATTCTCTAACACCTTCCCACCCCACCCACTGGCTAATCGAACATGTTAATTACTCAACTTGACCATCTTTTCCCCTCTAATCAATCATTACTCATATATAACTTTATTAATGATAGTGAATTATTGGTTAATGAATTCTGATTATCTAGAGCAAAGTTAAAGGTTTGAGAAGTTTTAGCCCAATTCTTAGCTCAAAGTCTTAAGCCATTTTATTTGCCTCGCTTTCTGTTTATTCAGTTTAGATGGATAAACTAAACCCACTTTGCTTTTTTTCTTCCCAATGTGAATCTCGTTGTCTTCCACCTCTGAATAACACTTATATTTTATCTTTAAAATGTCTAGCTTTTTTGACAAAACGATTTGCGCTTGCTTTTGTTTTTTTTGGCAAATATTGGATTAGGAGTCCTAATGACGTATTAGCAGCTGTCTTCTCTGCTTTATTCTTTCCAAATGAAAGTAGCTTTTTCTAATCCCTAGAGAACCAATGATGTCCGCAGAGAAGATGGCTGATTTAAGAAAATTATCATATTGGTATCTAACACGTTGCTTTAAAAAGGAAGGGAAATAATATAAATTATACTTTTATAGCCTTTAACTTTTTTTTAGTTGAATTAAAAGGAATCATATGAACAGTAGATGATGTACTCAAATAATTTATATTTTTTTTTGAGTTTGCATTACCGACTCATGTTTGCATTTGTCATGCAGTGGATTGTTTATATACTTTGCTCAACATTGTGAGAATAATTTGAGCTCAAAATCTTATTAAAAAAAAGAAGCTCAAAATCTTATTAAAAAAAAAAGAATGATGTTGCTACTCGAGCTCAAAATCTTATTAAGAAAAAGAACGATGTTGCGAGCTCAAAATCTTATTAAAAAAAAAGAATGATGTTGCTACTCGAGCTCAAAATCTTATTAAAAAAAAGAAGAAGGATGTTGCTACCCCATTAAATGATCAATTCGCGGTGGTTCATAGTCTTTAACTAAAATAACAGCCTAGTGACCTATCTAATTATTTTTTTAGTGAGGGAATCTATAGCGGTAGAGTGAGGGCAATACATAGGGTCTATAGAAGCTTCACCTTTTTCTGGAGAAACTGATTAAATACCACTTAATGCCCCAACTGAAATACGATCTTGTGTCCAAGTCCAACAATGACATTTTACAACAAATAATGCAAAAAAGCAACAACCAATATATATATATATATATACATATATGTATGTGTATATATATAGTCTTGGACCTGTCTGTCTTTGACAGCAAATTTCAAAAAACACCATCTTCTTTGGATTTGTCCTGCTGGTACAAATGGTCCAGCGCCACTGAACCAAGTTAGAAAAACTACCAGTAGAAAACAAAAATTTATTACCTGAAGTCACATTGGCTTTGTGTAGTTTCATGTAATTGTCATGGGAGGGGAAAAAAAAAAAAAAAAAAAAAAAAAAAAAAAAAAAAAAAAAGAAAGAAAGAAGAAGAGAGTTGCAGGTAATAACTAACAATAAGTTGGGGGGGTGTTGCAAGTAACTTGGGAATCGCATCAGACAAGGCTATTGGATGAATGGTCTATTAGTCGTACCATGTACCATCCTTTCGTGTTTCCCCTTCTTGGAAAACACCTATTCCTTTTGCACTTTTCTTGTTTGTTTTTGCTTTTCCTTTTACCCCTTGCCCTTTAGTGGTTAGTAGTTTCTCTCTCTCAGTTTTTTTTTTTTTTTTTTTTGTTTTTTGATTAGGAAGTTATACGTAGTTAACCCATAATTTAGAACTTGTTTTTTTTTTGTTTTTTGTTTTATGTTTTTGTACTAAGAAGTATAGAAACGTGACTATAGACACCTCACACGTTTAAAATTATCAGTATTGAGTCATAATTATTTACGTAAGAAGATAAAATGTGTCGTCTCAACCGCATTAAATGTTAATATGTTAAACCAATAATCCTAAATTGACCCAAACCAGTTGAGAGTAAACCTAATATTACTAGACTACCGGGGTAGTGTGTTTCTTTTTCGTTTTTTTTTTTTTTTTTTGGTTTTCTGATTAGGAAGTTATACGTAGTTAACCCATAATTTAGAACTTGTTTTTTTTTTGTTTTTTGTTTTATGTTTTTGTACTAAGAAGTATAGAAACGTGACTATAGACACCTCACACGTTTAAAATTATCAGTATTGAGTCATAATTATTTACGTAAGAAGATAAAATGTGTCGTCTCAACCGCATTAAATGTTAATATGTTAAACCAATAATCCTAAATTGACCCAAACCAGTTGAGAGTAAACCTAATATTACTAGACTACCGGCTTAGTCATGAGTTTTTTTATCAACTGAATGCATTGATTCTTCAAAAGGAAAAAAAAATAATAACAAACTCTATGAGTTGGCAAAACCCGAGTTAAGTGAGTCAATTTTTTGTGCCCACTTAGTGATAATTTTAGGGTTAATTTAGTTTGCTAATTTAAGTTTTTAATTCGAGTTAAAATGTAACTTTATACGGGAGTTTTTTATTATAGTAAAAAAGTTAAATGTGACGAATTCTGAAATTTTTTTTACTGTAATAAAACTCAAATTTTAAATTTGAATCGGTATAATAAACGAGACCTAATTTCAGCCTCCAGGTTTGTCCTAGTCCAATTGTGTTTCGGTCACGTTTTTGGATCCATTTAGTTGCAAACCAAACTTGATTGGGACGACTAAAAGAAAAAGATCAGAGTTTTGCTAATTGGTATAAAAGAATTGAAGATTAGATTAATGAAGTACCATTTGCTACGATCAATTACAAACACTGCTGTCCTTAAAAACTGCCCCTTCTTTTTTTTTTTTTACTTTCTTCTCCGTCCTTTTCTTTGGCAGATTGCAAGATTCATTGAAAATTCTTGTAGATTTTCTTGTTATACTTTAAGAGTCCTGAATTGACCTTCCAAGTTCGTCTTACTACGTGTCACTGTATAAGTGTTATATACACCTGCATAAGCACGTGACCATTTTAGACTGCATAGATCAATCATATACAAATAAACACACACACACACACATATATATATATATATATATGAGTTAATTTCAATAATAACACTTGTAAATAAATTATTATTAATTTTAACATTACTTTTATATATTTTTATAATTAGTATCGTCATGTTAATAAAAGTGAGACTATACTATTTTTATTTGAGTTAAAATGATAATTGTGCTCTATTTCAGTTTTAAAGCCTTGAATATATATTATGAAGCATTTTATAATTCAAATATTCAAAGTAGAAAAATGAGGAGGAGAACGTACGCGGGTGTGCACAGAGACTAAGAAAACCCAACGACTACCACTGTCTACCACCTTGAGCACCGACAAACCCACGACAGTGAAAACCCACGACATCGAGAACCCACGCAATCACGCGACGAGAACCGACGAACCTTCGCCGGAGAAATCAACGCCTAAACCTCTTCGTCGGAGAAGAACGAACCGAGGAAACCTCACCCTCTTCGCTGAAGAAATCAGCCACAAAACAGATGAGGTCAATGGCGGATTCCAAGACAAAGGTGAAAACTTTGTTGGCTTTTCTTGTTTATTTGTTTTTTTTCTTATGTATTTATTGTTTTATTTTCTTTTACCATTTTCTGTCATCTTAGAAGAAAAGAAAGGCTTTGGAAGAGGAGATAAAAGCAGATAAAGTTAGTTATTTGAAAATTTTAGGGGTCATTGGATTGTCATTGTGCTACTTATTTAGTCTGTGACTCTACCTGATAGCCGGTCATATCATTATGACCGCTTGGTAATTTTATTATGACCGGTCATAAGACATGCACATTGTGCGGTCATAGTAATATGACTGACGGTCATAATTACTATGACCGCCCATTAGGCAGGCAGGTGCATAGTGCGATTGCCTGATTGATGAGCCCGCGGTCATAGTATTATGACCCTCGACCATAGTAATGTGACCGCACAATTGTGAGGCTCATAGTGCGACTGCCTGTTTGATGAGCCTGAGGTCATAGCATTATGACCTAGGGTCATAGTAATGTGACCGCACAATTGTCAGACTCTTAGTGTGTCAGTCATAATACTTTTTTATGGGATGACCGTCGGTCATAGTACTATGACCGAATAATTGTCAGATTTTTAGTGTGCCAGTCATAGTACATTGGTTAACAACTTTATTTACTTTCTTTTTTTTTGTATTTATTGTTTTTTTTTACCAATTTTTGTCATCTTAGAGGAAAAAAAAAACTTTGGAGGAAGATAAAGCAAATACTAAGAAGGTCAGTTAACAATTACAGGTAGAATGTGACATCATAGTCAGACGATATCTTCACAGGACCTTCTCCATCTTCAACAACATAACTTAAGGATAAACTTTTTCCTTGTAGCTGAATCCCAAGCACATTTCTCACCAAATCTATAAGACCAATATAAGTTGTGTTGGTGGGGACCAATATCCTATTCATTTCACAACTGACGTATCTCGAAGCATGGTCCCAATGTCCATTGTACTTGATGAAGACGTTCAATCCAACAGTCATTCTTAAATAATTTTAAAAAGAATAACTGTTAGTCAACATGCAATTACTCTTAGTCGGCATAGAGTCAATAGAAATGACCAGTCATAACACTGTGTAATGGCCGGTCATAAGGCAATCATAGTGTGCCAGTCATAACACTATGACTGCCTTATGGACGATCATAATGCTATGACAGGACTATGACCGATCATTTTGACTCATATTGTTATAAATTGACTCATAAACAATGACTCATACTGTTATGACTGATTGGTCATAGTATTATGACCAGACATATAACACTATGAGTCACAATACTATGACTCCCAAGGTCAACTATGTCTTTGACGTGGTGATCGTTACAATCAGTTTACATATCAATAATAAACCATCCAAAATCTCAAATTAACGAAGGATAGTATCAATTCTTATCACATTAAGTTCAACCCAGTCATGTTTTTCGAGTTCTATGTACTAAGTCTCCCGAAAAAATAAATTTAAAAAGAAAAAACAAAAGAAAACAAAAAAATTGTGTGCAAACCTCAATCTGGTGCACAACCGGAGTATTGCCGACGAGGAAATGAGGGCGTAGGGAAGAGAGAGACTGAGTAGAGAGAGAGGCCAAACTTGAGAGAAAGAGAGAGAGAGAGAGAGAGTTGAGAGTCTCATTGAGGTGCTTTTAAATGATAATTTTGACCTAAGTCATTTTACTTCACACTGCTGACATGACAATGCTAGTTGTGAACGTATACAAAAATGATGCTAAAATTAATAATAATTTATTAAGGAGTGTTATTATTAAAATTAATCCTATATATATATGTGTGTGTGCGTGATAGTCTAACGGTAATCACACACTTGATTTTTAGTTCATTACAAAATATAAAGTGTAAATCCCGCACCCTAATTTAAATACAGATGTATTCCTAAATTAGAGAGGGGGGAGGCAGGGAGGGAGGGAAGGAGGGAGAATTGTTAGAATATAGAAATCACAAGTATAGACTTAGTTTTTAAGTACCTTAAGGTCTGAAAAACATTAAAGCAGAATTAGGGGTTTAATTATATGTACAAAACAGACCCTTCGATTTTCAAGGGAATTTTAATCTGACACGTTATAAGACCATTCAAGTTTGTACAATCCCCAATTATATTGCAACATCATGACCTACGCCCAAAATTTGTTCAGACGAGAAGCAGACATTAGGAATTTGGATGGGACACTCCAAAATCCTTTCTAAACAGAATATAGCCCATTATCACTTTAGGACAGTTCTTGGATCTGCTATACTTAAAACTTGTGGTTCTTGGCCAACTTCTTATATAAATATCAATTCTACTAAGAACTATGATTTTACCATTTGCTAATTCTTCACCTCAAATTTTACTCATATTCTGTTGCACTTGGTCTGCAATATAGCAGAAGTAACCTTGGTTTCTTAGGATGCATAAATAAAAGAAAGAAAAGATTTGGATGTCCCCAAAATGAAAAGTTGTAAGAAGAATATTTTCCCTACAAAAACACAAATGAAGGTGAAAGTTCTTTACAGTTAAATACTAGAATGATTGTGTCTGTGAATTGATAGTAATGGCAGACATTTCATATTTACCTTTTTTTCCCCCCTCATTTGTTCTTATTATTACAGCGCAACGAAAGAACCATTTCCTTATACTCAGTGTCCCCATCAACTTTCAAAAAAGATTGAAATCTTTAGCAATAATCCATGCATGTTTGTCCCTTAGCTCAGCTATGGTCAAAATATGTGTGCCACTGAGATATTTTACACTCATCATGACATGATCTTTTTTCCAACAAAAATTCATCAATCCTTTTGTATTGTCCTTCTCATCAAAGAAATCCCAGTTGGATCACCACCTTGCTCTTCAAACACAACCAATAGGTTACCTTTCGGGCGCAGCCATGAGCGCGGGACGTGGTACCTGATATCATAATTCACAAGGTTCATTAAACTTGTTACATGGGACATTTTTTGGCACATTGTAATAAATTGCATTGTATTATAATTTAGTGCCAGTATAGTTCACTTTTTGGTATCAGATATATTGATTGATAAGAAAGATGAAAGATGTGCCATTTCACCATTTCTGGGAGGCATCTCCGCAACCACGTAGGCATTTGTTTTCAAGGAAGGTTCCGGAGTAACTGCATTGACTGCAGCCACCGGATGCTTTGTGTGCAGGCCAGTGCCGTCCGATGCTTTGACCATTTATCCATATTTGACCTTTTCCCATGCTGCTCATATCTAGAGCTAGTGGATCTTTGCCTTCTGGCGCATCAAATATGGTCTAGAAACATGACACCGTAAATTAAAGATTCCTATTAGAACTTGGAAATTTTGAATTTTCCGAGTCATGAACAGGCATTAGTTGGCTTAGCAATGGGATGGTTTTCACCTTGTACCATGTTAAGGCCTGCTCTTTACGCACTGATGATCCTTTAGCCCACTTGACAGAGGAGCTTCCCTTGAATGAATACAGGCCTAATGTTTCGCCTTCTAGACCAGTCTGCGCAGAGTCAGAGCCAAAAGCAAGTGATTAACTTGCATATGTTATATTTAGTATGTATTATACGTTATATTTATTCTCACAAACGTTATATTTACTATGTATTATATGCATTTTTTTTGTTGAGTGTGTGAAGATTATTTTATGAGAGCCGTAAGGTATGCGATTCTCTTGTAATCTTTTTCTTCATCAACGTGGATGTCACTCTTATACTAAGTAAGGTTGAATCGCTATATATCTTTGTGTGTGCTTTCTCATCTTTCTTTTATATTATTGCTAACGCTGGTTAACAAAGGATTAGAGCTATAATCCGTTGCATTTTCAACAAACATTTTCTTGACTTCCAAGTCTATTCTCTTGGATTATTTGTATTAGCTCACACAATAAAGAATACTTCAAAATTTTCCAATTTGCTGGCTTGCTGCCATGATCAAAGGGAAAACACAAAGAAGAAACCTTTTTCTCCTTGAACTTCCTTAAATATCTAATAGAACATTTATCAGCAAAAAAAATCCTAAGGTGACAAACCTTATAGGACCACTTCCATTTAGAGAAGTCCAATGTTCTCCCACTTAAGCCCTCCAATGTCACTGGCCCAAGAACACCAACATTCCATTTCTCAAAATGCAGGCCAACATTCTGAAATTGATCAATTATGAGAGTTTGAGTAGAGAAGACTAAGATATATATGACATGAAAAGTGCCTAGTAAATCCAATAGAATACTCAAAGGAATAAGCATATTGGAGATATGTAAACCGACCGGGAGACCAACAGTGACACTTAACAAGGAGATCTTGTTAATACCAGCTTTCAAAGTCACCTTGTCACTAAACTTTAACTTAGGATTTGCAAGTCTCCCATAAGCAGTCCCTGCCAATATAATACAAAATGATAAGTAAAACAAAGAAATGTGCTTAATGTGTTTCATCGTTGACTTACTCTAAGCTAACCTGATAATTCACCATTGATGAAAACTTGCAAAGCATGGCCTGCTGATGAAACTTTAAGGATAGGAAAGTCTCCATAATTTAAAAACCCGTCATCTTTCCTTATATTGACACTGTTGCAGCAAGATATTACTCTTAATTGATTTGCATTGAAAAAAAAACCCAACAAAATTCATGTAAAATTGCTTACTTTGTTGTGTACCACAAATAATCTGAGGTATCTCTGGTAACATTTAGTTGTTCCAACAATCCATGAGCCACAAATGAATTCATGTCATCTGTGGAGGGAACTCCTTCAGTGTATGATTCCCAAGAGAATTTCTTTGCAAACTCCATCTTCACATCTAAGCTTGCAGCCCTAACCTACAATACATACATCCAAACTAAACATGTGGCACACTAAACTTCTTTGTGTTATTATTGTCACTTCTTCTCATGCAAAGAGATGTAGAATGTTATGAGTGGTAAGAATATTCTCACGTGCGGAAGCTGACTAATTATTTCTCATGTATCATACTTTGTGTTGAGCTGTGTCGAGCCTAATTATACTGTACACTTGTATTAGTATGACATAATATTTTTGTGCTATAAAAGGGGTTTTTGAGGGCAGCTGTTTCTTGTGAGATTGATAGAGGAGCCAAGCATCTCATACGATGATTTGAGAGGTCTAAGATCATATTCTACACTTTATTTAATATACAGTGAAAATCTGCACCGATAAAATAGACGTAGCACTCACATTTAGAGTGAACCACTATAAATCTCGTATGTGCTCTATTTATCGTTTTTCATTGCCTTATTATTGCTCTATAAAATATCAGAGATTAGGTTGTAACTCCTTACATACTTGTTGTTGGAAAAAATGGCTTATTAAGCCATTTTAAAGGCCCATTTTGAGGCCCATGTTTGAAAGGGGCCCAATAGGTTTTGAGACGGGTCTCGATGGATTTGCGTTCTTCGTCACGAGGAGATCGAAATCAAGTATTCATACACTCAAAATGGATTTTGGGTGAATAAGAAATTGATGGTCTAAGTATTGTTCCTAAAATGGCATATGTAGAAGGAAAATTGCAAAAGTCCCACATTGGCTAGGAGGGAAGCCAATGTGGTGTTTATAAGAGATTGCACTTTGAAACCTAGGTAAGCATGTATACTAGAGAGGCTCTCTCACGCGCAGGGGGGGGGGGGGGCGAATCACGGGCCCGGCGGGTTTGGGGCCTAATGTGTGCGGACACGAATGCTGGACCGAAAAACCCGTTCCGTGCGAGCTTACTTTTGCGATTTTTCTTTTGCTCTAGCCAAGACTTTCCAGCTTCCGTTTGGCATAAAGCAATGATGGTTAAAAACCATAATGAGACCTTAATGGTGATCAATGGAGGCAAACCGAATCAAGCTTTCATGGCTTCGGTTTTTCATCATCAAAAACTGAATTACTAGCCAGAATGTGGCCAGATTCACCATGGGAAATCAAAAAACGTTTTGGCTGGTTTTAATCACCATTATTCCGGGAATAAATCTGGGTTATTACACCATAATGTCTTGGTGTAACACCCAGATTTTGGAGCCTATATAAAGGCCAAAACTCCACATGATAGGAACACAATTTCTCACAATTCTCTTCTCCTCTTTTCGGTTCTCTCTCTGTCTTGGTTTGTTCCGGATTTCCTTGAGTAGTTCTTGTAGTTCGGTTTTGGTGATAGAGGAAAGATCAAGTTCTAGTTCGCCGGACGGTTCTGAAAGTGCATCGAGCTACCGTCGTTGTCGTTGTATCCTGGGAGATGGACGTCCAACGTAACCTCAAGCACACGCCGGAGGGGACGAATCTATTTTAAGGACAACGTGGTTCACGTGCCTCGACATTCATACAATTCCGTTTTCCGAATTCCATAGAAAGGTTGATTTCGGGTTGTAACAATTTTTCATTATTTTGTTATTCCTTTATTTTCTTGTTCTTCTTTGTATTTTCTATTATATTATCTAACACTTGTCATGTTCTAGCCAAAGAATTCAAGTCTGAATAACACGTTTATATATAAGCCAAAAGAAGCGTAAACATAAGCAGCAGTGTCCTAAAGAAAAATAGTAGAAAGCAGTTTTGTCTTTTCCTTACCCTTGCAGTGTTGAAAGTTGCTTCCTGGCAGTGTGGAAGAATGCTGATGGACCAAGGAGGAAGGCCATATTGTCTTCCTCTGAAGGTCACGTTAACAAAATATTGAGGGTCATAGTTTGCCAGGAATGCAGCACAAACCCCAGATTTGGTATTGAAAACATGAGCCTTGCAAATGAAAGAAACCGAAAAGAAAGGAATTCTCAATTTGAGTATAATAAGAATTGTAATTTTAGATAATTGACTGTAAAGTACAATTTTACAGTTTAGTCATTGTTAAGTTAGGAAACTGAATAGTAGAATACCTCTTGTTTTCTCCCAACGGACGTTCTCACGGGGTTTGCAGAAACTAAGGCTGGTTCGCATAGTCTAATGGTTGTGTGCAAGTCTCTTAAATGACTGTGCTTTGGTTCCCTTGTTAGTCCTGACATTAGCATAAAGGAATAAACTCTTCATGATAGTTAGAAAATACACATTACGAGAGACGTCCTAATATATTCACAAGTAAGCCAATTTTCATGTCCAGAGATACAATATGGCACTCACAATTAGCAGATGCGGTGTTATCTGCTAAAGGTAGTTTGTAAAATTCACATGCCTATCCTAGAGTGCAAGGAAAATTTGTTTTTCTAAAATGCCCTTTATGTGTGTTTCACTTGAGATGTAATGAACGATAAATTAGTGTAAAACTAACAAGTAATTTCTAAGACGGTGAAGGACCATCCATTTGTGCATCTCACTGCAAGGCTATATATACTTATATTCAGGAGAGAGAGAGAAAAATGTGTACTTGTGTGTGTCTTGAATTTCTTTTCCATCATAAATCATTAGAAAGGCTAGTTATCACCCATGATGACTATCACCACTATTTTTTAACTGGTCAAAGATTGACATGTAAGATCATGCAGGACCTTGTGTCATAATTAGTGGGTCCCAAACGTGACATGTGAATTTGTGATTGGTTGACATGGTGCGGTGACAATTAGTAAAGGAGCAATGCTATAGGGCCTTAGTGGTGCTTAGTACCACCCACTAATAGAAGGTGGGTCTCGCAGTGTGGAACCCACAAGTGGGGTTCATCTTCTATGAGTGATGGTGTTTAGCACCGGTGGTGCCCCTAAGCATTTTTCTTAGTAAAGCTAAGTAGTAATTTCATTTGACAAGTTTGAAACAAAGGCCTACTATGATAATTGTAGTAATAAAATAGGTTTTAAACACCAATAAAACTTAAACAGTTCATTTAGCCCAATGGGCTACACAGCATAGCTCTTGCTCTAAATATCATATCCATGTGCAACTAGGTCAAATGTGGCATGAAACACCTACTTTTTCTATCTAATCTAGTTATTATACAGACCCTTTAGACAAAATAGCAAGAACTAAAGTAGATTGTTATAAATCATCACCTACCATATTCATCAAGTGGTGCATCATAGTCATAGCTAGTGGCAATGAATGGGCCACCAGCTGTCCTACCAAAATTGGTTCCTCCATGATACTGAAAACAAGAAAGAGATAAAGAAAAAAAAAATGAAACCTTTACATATACATTGCAATAAATATGTATTGAATAAGTTTTGTCCCCCTTGAATAATTGAATGGATCAGCTTACCATATAATAGTTTATATATGAACCCTTGTTCTGTATGAATCTTGTCACTGCAAATGCCAAGTCTTCTACTGGTCTATAAGGTGCAGGACCACCAAACTTCAATAGCCTGGATGTAGACAATTGAAAACTAATGAATGCAAAATCCAAAAAATATATATGTAGAGAATGAGAAATTGTTGTCTGTACTAGTTAAAAATAAAAAAAAATAAAAAAAAAGACACCAGGTTTTTACCAGCCTGTCCATGCTTCTGTCCACATTTTGGGTTTATTGTCCCGGTTAGGTAAGAAGTTCTCACAATAGAAACCATTGCAGGAATTTATCTGCATACCAACAATGAAATAACTAATGAGCTTTAAAGAGGCAACTACTTCTACGGTTGTAGTAAATTAGACTAGACTGTGTTTTGGTAAATTTATATTTCTTAACCAAAAGAAGGGTTTTTTTTTTTATTTTTTATTTTTTATTTTTATGTTAACACTAAGTTGAGTTTATTACTATTGGATCAAGGGCATCTCCTTGCTTGCACATGACCCATGGTACTTCAGTTTTGAGCCCCACAGCCATGTTTGCTGACCATCTTGCATAAGATTTGCCAGCATCACCAAATGAATTTTCCACTATTTCATATTCATTCTCAATCTGCCACAAAATTGAAAGCATAATTTTGGACAAGTTTAGAATCATAACAACAATATTTCTAAAACAGCAAAAATAAATCATATAAGCTCTGCAAAAAAAAAAAAAGGAGGAAGAAGAAGAAAAGAAACTGGTTTTGATACCTGAGACAGAATAATGGGACCTCCTTGAGGTTCAAACAGGTTTTCTGACTTCATCATATTTACAATCTTTTGTGTGAACTTTTCCATTGCAGCCTTCAACATAGTTATATGGTACTTAAGTTTACCGCATTCCTAACAAAATAATGAACTAAAGACATGGAAAAAGAACTGAAAGTTATCTACCTTAAAAGGCTGATTATCTGTTCTAAACACAATACCAGGAACATACTTCAGCCATACAGGAAAACCCCTGATTGCAAAACTGGCTAATTCAGATAAAATTCAAAATATATATAAAAAAAGAAACATCATCAAAGCCTAAACTTTTGAATACTATAAGCATTACCCAAAGTTCCATTCAGCACACACATAAGGCCCAATGCGAAGATGAACATAAAGACCTGCTTTTTGTACCAATTTGATGAACTGAACTAGATCATACCTTCCCTCAAAATAGTACTGAAGAAACCAAAAAAAAAAAAAGAAAGGACAAATGTTATAGGCACTGTTGGAATAGAAATTAAGTACTAGTAAGTGAATTTTGAACCACCAAAGAAAAAAAAAAAAACAAAAAACAAAAAATGTATGTGAATCACTTTTCCTGGAGAAGGCTCATGTCCATTCCAAAACACATAGGTCTGTATGACATCCAACCCTCCATTTTTGGCCTTCTGAATAAGGTCAGGCCACATCTGAACCCATCAAACAACACACATTAACAATATATAAAAGCAATAACACATAAAAAGAACTAAACCATGAAAATATTCAAGAACATTATCCAAAAAAAAAAGAAAAAAAGTGAACCCATTTATCCAAATGCATGCATACCTCAGGAGTGCTTCTTGGGTAGTGAATGGAACCAGAGATAAGTATTCTTCTTCTGCCATTGATGATAATAGCTCTATTGTCATAAGACACTCTGGCTTCCACTTCAAAAACCCATGACAAACAGATTATTACCAACAAAAAAATCATCTTCTTTCTTAAAGCTGAAGCCATACTGACTTCTTAAAGCCTTACTAACAGAAAGAAAGAAAGATGAACTTTTGACTTTTTTTTTTTTGCCTCCTTCAGTTTTCTTTCTTATATTTTGCTGAGCCCTTAACGGCTTTTATACAAGCTAAGAAGCTTCCAAACATCTTATTCTTTCTTTTGCCCGAAAATCTAGAAAAGAAAATGTGTTTGATCAACTAAAATTAGTAAGAAATGAGTGAACACGTTTTTCTTTTTTCCTCATAAATGACGGGCCAAGACTTTTACCCGTCCATTGTGATTTGTCTTTTAACTCAGTTATTTAAGCTTTCAAGCAACAAAAAATATGCGAAATTAGAAAAGTTTCGAGTAAACTTATATAAATATCAGATTCCTACCTATCAATTATTAAGTTCTTGTTCACCTTCCAAAAGTTGAACGAGGGAATGTGAGAGGGGACAGTTTAACAAGATATGCTATTATTACTGCAATATTATGGAAGATGTAATTCTTATTCCTTCAGGAAAAAGTAATTTTTACTTTCTGAAAAGAGTAATTTAACACTAAAATCATTTTTCCAATAATAAGGTTGTAACTTGTATGACAACGTTTGTTTTGGTTGGTGACCACTGACATGTCAAAGGAATGTCGTTTCTTTCTTAAACGATATAAAATTTTAAAAACAATCGTCGTTTAATCATGTAAAACGACAACGCATTGCTATATGGATATGTACCAAAAAAGTTCCTTTGAACGACATCCAATTACGCAACAGAAGCGCATGTCGTTTTGGAATCTAAAGATAGTACATTTACAGCACAAACGACAGGTAAAAGACAGCGGATTTTGCCTGAAAACGGCATATTTTTACACAAAGCAAACTCCTAAAAGATGAGGACATTGTTTTGTTTGTTTTATTGAATGAAGATAAAGATGACGAAATCTTGTTTACCTTAAAGGAGTGCACACTTTTACGGAAAACGACATCGTATTCTTAACGTGTCGTTTTTATTCAAACGGCATCACTTTCAAGTTATAACGCGTCATGTCTCCTCAAACGACATCAAACTGTGCAACTAGAAGGACATCCCGTTTAATGCATGAAACAATCACATTTAGCAACGGCGAAATTGTCTTACAGTAAGGGGAAAAAAAAAAAGCTTTTCTAGATATGTCGTTTTTATTCAAACGGCATCACTTTCAAGTTATAACGCGTCATGTCTCCTCAAACGACATCAAACTGTGCAACTAGAAGGACATCCTGTTTAATGCATGAAACAATCACATTTAGCAACGGCGAAATTACAGTCTTACAGTTCGGGGGAAAAAAAAAAAGCTTTTCTAGATATGGATATCAAACTTCTGAAAGCAAAGACATGTCATCTTCGTGAAAACGACGTGACATTATGCAATAAGAACAACATTACAATAAACGACAACAGACTTGTGCAAAAATTTTAGAGGTAGGGATGGTAATGGGGCGGGACGGGAAATGATTTACCATGCCCATTCCCACCCTCTAAAATCATCCCCATCTCGGGCGGAGTCGGGGATTCTCTGTTGGGAGGTGTTTTTTATACCCGTCTCATTTTTATAAAATGTAATTAAGCATTTCAAAATTATTGTGACTTAAATCAAAATAGAGTATAAATTCAATATAAGATTAGACCGAAATGAAAGGTTACTCAATATAAACTAAATTCAAAATATATGAAAAAAATAGTAATAGAGTCAAGAAAAGTCTTATTAAAAATAATAATTAATATATATGTAAAATGTGTATGTATGTATGTTTATATAAAATATATTATATTATATATAACATATGTATATCGGGGTGGGAAAAGCTTCCTCCGTCCCCGCCCCGCTAAGATTTAGGGATAAGATTTTGTCCCTATCCCTGTCCTCATCCCTGATTATTATTCTCCATCCTTATTTTATTTAGTGCGAATCCCCACGGGATCCCGTCCCCACGGGGAATATTGTCATCCCTATTTAGAGGTATGAACTTCTGACCACTGAACGAAGTGTCGTTTGTTTACTCAAACAACAACAATGTCGTTTTAAAGTTAGACAAGTCTAACGAATAATAAGTCATTTTTCTATCATGGATCAGCACAAACTCTTAAAACAAACTTTAATCCAACATGTCGTTTCTTTTTATTTTTCATTTAAAAATTGTGGAAAAAAGAAAACAACTGTATAGCTATTATTTAGTTTTAAACTCAAAATTTCATTGAATTTCATTAAATTAACATATTTTGGTTATGACATAATTACAATCCTAAAAATCAACAGTTTAGTTAATTAATCATATTTTTTTTATGATTTTCCCTCTAATTTAGCACACAATTCTCAAAAATTAATCAAAAGTTTTAGGATAATTGGCACCATTAATCCCTAACCTCTTTAACAGTGACACTTAGGTCTCTCTTTTTTTAATTTTGATGAAAATGTCCTTAAACTCTACAAATGTTGGCAATTAAGCCCTTTCCGTCTACTTCTATTAAGTTTTTGACAGAACTCGTCACGTGCAAAACATGTGCTCCAATTTAGAAGGGAATATTGGTAAAATAATTTTTAGTTTATAGTTTAATTGCAAGAAAATGTTGTAGGTCTCAAAAACTTAAAGAAACCCATAATTAAAAACTGAAATACTCATCTCAAAACGTTTATTAACTATATATTAATAGAAAAAAATTGATCTTTGCCGACGACTACTAGCTAAGCGGAGGTGAGCTGATCTGATCGAAGGAGGTGAGCAAATCTGATTAGAGGAGGAAATCAACACACAACGACGGCGCGGGGGCGATAACGGTGCTACGAGCGAGGAGGACTGTAATGACTGAGAAAATCTCAGACTTTAAATAATACAATTTATATATTTAAGCCAAGAATTTTCCCTAGAAAATATTATGCTATATTTTGTGACTGAAGGATTTATAGAATTAATATCTGTATTCTTAAATTTTGTAGCAGATTTCATGCTAAGTTCATGTTGTACGATCAAGTAAATTCGACCAATAAATTCTCACCGTATTTTAAGGCGGAAGAATTTTCAGTATGTATATAGTTTGAGAATCTTAATTTCAAGAATTTAGAATCTCCAAGCACAGCACGATATTAGTAGCGTATAAAAAAACGCTCTGTCATTTTAAAAGAAGAGAAAATTCTTAATTGTCGGACAGCTAGGTTGAAGTCACAAGATAAATACTTATAGTAGAAGGGTACAATGTGAGCTCGAGAGTTGACACCGTAAAAAATAATGTCATTCTCGGGATATAATGCAGAAATTTAAATTTAGAATTTGTTTAGTCTACAATAAATTTCAAGACTTGAAACATATCGAAATATTGCGCAAGTATAAATTTAATGTGATATCGAAGTAGTCGGGGATTAATATTGAACTGTAAATAAGTAGTAGAAAAGGAACCGTCTGAAACTAGAATTTCCTGTCGGCTAAGTACTTCCTTACAGTCAGTATAATTTTTAACAATTTTAAAGGAAACTTAAGAGAGTAGACAAAAATACAAGGGGTAGGTTAATGTGTAGAATTGGATGAGGTGTGATGATGGAAGATGAAGAGTACTCATGATTGTTTTTTTTCCCTCTCTTTCTTCACTTGGCCGGCCATGCTTAGGGAGTGTATAGCAAAAATTTTGGTTAGTTGAGTGTGGTAGAAGACTTCATGATGAGATGAATCAAATTAACTATTTGACAAGAATGCTTACTTCACTTCTCTCCTGAAGCATCCAAATCGGCCAAGCTTAAGGTGTTTTAAGCAAAGTTTTGATTAATTAAGTTGGATACAAAGGCTTGATTAAAAGCTAAGAGGGGATTAAGCAAAGGGCTATAAATACTAGATCATTGGTGTAAGCAACATTTTCTTCTTATTTGCTCATTCTTCTCTCATTTTCCTACAAACAAAAACCGGCCCTAACTCTCTCTCTTATGCTCTCTCTTTAATTTTTCTTCCACTCCCTTAAATACAAATACTAGCTTAAGATCAAGAAGGAGAAGGAGGATCAAAGTGTTCTAGGAGGAGTTTAACCAATGATTTTCTTTCCTTAAGGGTATAAACTCTAAAACCTTTCTCTTCTATTTTCTTTTCTAGCAAAGTTTAAGTTTGAGAATCCATTGATGTAATTTGTGGTTCTCAAGGAAATAAGTTTGTAATAAGGGTGTGTGAGTTTAACGGTGGTTTGGTGAGTTTTGAGGTTAGTTTGATTAGTATTATGTGGTATGTTTATGTTTGGTTTAAGTTTGCTTATTTTGGGTTGGAGGAAAAAAATTTTGGTTACTTTGAACGTGAAAATAAGGACCCTACAGCAGGATTTTTCAGTGTTTCAAAACTTAAACTTATAGTTCTCGATGTTTTGAACGTTTTTCTATGACTGTGATAAAACTCAGTTTTAATTCTAAAAGCAAGTTTTAAACCATTTTTCAAAAACAGTACAGGCTGTCCAAAACAGTTTCGGAAAAACAAACTGGCAGTCACTGTTTCAGCCAAACGAGGCCTTTAGAGGCTTAATTTTAGCTTTCTTTGAAAACAACAATTTTAGATCTCGACGAGAGAAAGAATTTTCATGAAGAACAGATTTTTAAATCTGACTCTAAGATGCAGTAAAATATAGATTTCAGAAACTGCACAGTTCTAACTAAACAAAACTAACACAGTATTGGTTTTTAACAAAGGGTTATCGAAGAATCCGAGATATGATTTCAGTAAAATACTATGGTGTTAGACCTCATTTTAATGGAAATATTCGTGAAGAAAGTTTTCAAGAAAAATAGTTTCTTTTAAAAACTTAATAGTTTTTCGAGCAAAACATCCTGACGGGCACGTACGAGCCCAACATGTTAGGTCCTTAGAATTACAAAGATTGGATGTGGGTCCAACACCCACATTAATTCAAGAGACCCCATTTAAGTCTAAATATCAACGGTCTAAGAGTTAGAATGCCGTTACTAAGGGTGTGTTTAGTAAGGGGATTCGTACCCTGATTCGAATCATAGTTCATGGTTCGCTACAGTGTTTTCTCTCACAAAAAATACACGTAAATAAAAAATGGTTCTAATCCATGAACCAAACGTATCCTAAATCTCTAGGCTAAATTGGGCCTTAGTGATAGAACAAGTCCAATAAGGTAAATTATGGAGAATAAGTTACTAGATTGGATAATTGATTTCAACCTAGACATAAGTATGTTAAGGACAATTAAGAAAAATAAGATTTTAAGGATTTAATAAACTGATCCTTATAGTAAATTATCCTTTAGTAAAGGAAAGGAATACATGCCTTAAGTAAAGGGCTAGGTTTCCTTCATAAGCTGCTAAAATAAAATAGCAAATGACAGATAATCTCACACTCTCAATGGGAGTTCATTTTCAGAAGTAAGCAAGTAAGAGAATAGGCTGTTTGGCGAAAAGTGGATTCCAGCTCTGTAAATCAGGTAAGTAGGAATCTCACCTACAATATGAATATATTTTAAATAAAAAGTTACACATGTTACATATGTATGTTTATGCTTTAAGTATTGTATGCGATGCCATGTCATACTACATACACCTTAATAAGTCAAGTGAAACTTATAAGAATAATCTCAGTTGAGTGCCGTACCAGCATCTGAGAGAGAGGTGACTCAGGCTCCGCAAGGGAGAAGAAAAAAAATATAATAATGTCCTCTGAGAGGGAGGCATTCAGTTCAGTTATAATCACGGTGTCGTGGAGGACCTTGCAAACCCTCACGTCCCGATGATTGCGCGCAAGTGGTACGAGCACTCGGGTACGAGCACTCGGGCCCATCAGTAAGAAAGATAATATCAGATAATAAGAATTTGATAAGACATGATCATAATTAAGCATAATTGGCTCATGCATATTTATTCATGTGTACTTACAATTATTTTGCAAGAGATAGTTCCTACTTGCTGAGTGAAAGCTCCTTCAGATATGTTCATGTTGTAGGTAAGAAATCTATTAGCAATTCTTGAAGGGCAATGACGAATGGCGGGCGAAGGTGGAGATGAGAATGGATATCGCTCACACTTAAATTTTCCGCAGTAAGTTTAAGTAAAATCATGTATAAGTATATATGATTCAAAGGTTTCAACCAAGTATGTTTAAAAAGTATATGTACATATGTATGTTAAGAGAAGTGAGGTTGTAGCTAACAACCCTAGTCTTGAGTATTTAAGTTTTAGAACGTTGCAACAGTGCATGCAACAAACAAATAAATGAACTTTAAACATGACGATTTAAATGATTGATTTTGAAAGGACTTTAAGAAGTACTTGAATTTAAGATTTCTCACGAAATTTGTTTTAAAGTCAAATTAGATGGTCCGATTGTATTGGCTAGTTTTAAAAAAGCTTTTAAAGAGTATTTGAAACAAGAGTTCAAACGTCACTCAGTTCGAAAGATATTTTTAGAAGGTTTTATCTTAGTTGAAATTAAGAAAAGCTTTAAGAAATTTAGTGATTCATTTTTTGAAATTATTGTTACGATTTATGAAATTATTCATTCTTATATTTAAAAAAAAATGTTCTGTAAATTTTAAGAAATCCCAATAAGTACAAGTTAATTTCAGCTACAGTGGCGGCCTCCTAAGACGGTCGTCACAACGACTCCAGAGAATAGGACGTCATTGGAGGTGAGAACGTTGGACAACGGCGACACTGTGCGAGCGTGAGTGTGGGCAGTGGACGATCATGGGTTTGGGAGAGGTGACGGCGACGGGGGAACATAAATTGATCTTTGCAGGAACTAACTAAGCGGAGGAGAGGGAGAGGGGTGGAGGCGATCGTAGGCCTGGACAATAAGAATAAAGTTATTAATGGGTTCCTTCATTGAGAATCGTACTTTCTTGCATCTTAATCAACAAGCAAGCAAGCTATATGAGTTCATTATTTAAATAATCATCAATAAAAATTCTACATAAACTTGAGTAAATTTCATTATTTAAATTCTCTACTTTAAGGAAGAAGATTTTTCTATTTTTGGTGGAAAAAGTTAGTAATATTTCAGCTTACTCAAAAGAAAGGGCCTTTGATGTATTTTCTTGAAGATTCTTTATGTGGGTATGTTTAGATCTATTTTCAATATTCTAGGCAATGAGTGATCGCGGGTCTGGGCATTCTATTCTCATGTTGATTCCTCCTAACCAAACGCCACTTGAGGGGTTTTTTTTTGTTAGGTCAGAGGGTATTTTTGTCTTTTCATGGGAAAAAGACATGTGATGGTCACATGTAAGATTATGTTGTAAATTAACGAAAAGTATACAAAAATGGCTTAATTATCAACATTTGTAGAGTTTAACAACCTTTTCGCCAAAAAAAAAAGAGGGATCAAATTGTTACCTGTTAAAGAGGTTAGGGTTAAAGAGATTAGGGACTAATGGTGTCAGTTACCGAAAGTTTTATAATGTCACCTACTCTTGACCTAGTCTCCTGTAATATTATTGTTCTTTTGCATTTTTGAGTTAGAGTGACTTGAGTGATGATCTTGAGTTAAGTTTAAGTTATAACTTGAGTTGAAGTTGTAACTTGAGTTTGTGTTTAGATGTGCACATTTGAGTTATGATTTGAATTGAGAATCTTTTTGAGTTTGTATTTGAGTGGGTCAAAACTTAAATTTGTATTTAGATAGTATTTTAATAAAAACTCAATGGTGATGAAAATTTTTAATATAGTATATGGGTGAAGTTTTATTCATCTTTTCGTTGTGAATGCATAGAAAAAAATCATCTCAATCAGAATTAAAACGAAAAAAATATGACATTTTTAAGAATAGAAAAAATAATATTCATTAACTTGAGTTCGAGTTTATGAACTCAAGTTGAAGGAAAAACTTGAACTCAAGTTAAGCCTCAAACTCGAGTTCAAACTCAAATTTTATAAAAGAACATGAACTTAAATAAAATTGTAACTCGAGTTTAAATTTTTTTTTAGTTTTGTTGCAAAAGAACAACCCCATAACTTGTAAGAAAATAAATTTACTTTTTTATTTTTCTTTAATTTGTATATTTATTTGTATGTTTCTTAAAAACAAAAAACAAAACTGAAAATTACCATAAAGGACCCAAACCTTACCTTAGGTTTGGCTTCAAGGGTTGCAACATTTTGGCGCGAAAATCCTCCGAGCCCCGTCGTCTCCGATTCTCCCTCCGCCGCACAATCACCGGACAATGACCACCGTACGAGACTTAACCGACCTCTTCACGAGGCTCGCTTCCCACCTCGACGGTTCTTCTTCTTCCCATCACAATCTCCCAGAAGACGCCAACCGAGCTCTGCAACTCTCCGTCGCGAATCTCAACCGGTCCCTGAACCTCGACGACGATTCTAGGGTTAGGGTTTTGGACGCGGCCCTGTCGCTGATGTGCTTCAAAGCACCACAGGTTTTGTTTACTTCTTCAAGTTAGTCTTTTTCATTGATGTTCTTCTGTTCATGTCATTGGGTTGTTCTGTATTGTCGTTGGGTTGTTCTGTATTGTCGTTAGGTTTTCGATTCGGTGGTGAAGTACTCGGTGCAAACAATCGTCGGCGTTTTGTCGTCTTCGGTTGGATGCAAGGTCTTGCGGTTTCCGAAAGACGAGGTTTTGCTGATCGGCAGCTCGATTTCTGGCCGCGATTGTGGGGATTTGATCGAGGCATGCTCCGATGTTCTTGGAAAGCTTAAAGGACACCGTAGGTTTTTTCCCCCCTTAATTTTGCAAGTTTTCAATGTGTTGGTTTTGTCAAAATTGGAATATTGCATTTCACAATTGCGTACTCATGGTCTCTTATCGTTTATGGATAGAATTTAGACCAAAAAACAAGGAAATTTTTATGATACTTGTTAATGCAGGATTGAATAAAGTTCGACTTGCGATATGTGAACGTATCTGTTCAAAGACTTTATTTTACTTCTGAGATGTTGTTTTTTCTATAAACAGTGATTCGTTTTATTTATGCTTTAAATAGTCGTTTATGTCCGGATCATCTTAAGTTTGTAAATTGTATGCGTAATGCGGGTATGTTGCAGGTGAGCAATATGAAGATCTACTGTGTGCTGTTCTAAGGGTTGCAATTTCATCGTCTTCCTATCGATATCTATACCCGCCAAGGCCTATGCTTGATTTGAGATCAATTGATGCAAGACAAAAGACAGTTTCAAAGTTTCTCAGTACTTTTCCCAAGGGGTTTTCCCTTGACAACAACAAAATCCCATTTAGGTCTGGTCTAGTTAGCATTTATTTTAACCTGGTTAAAAATATTCCCTCTAAATTCTCCATAGGAGCTCATTTAGTGTTCTTCAAACTCTGATATTTTGTTTTTATCTTTTTGCAGACTAGTGTCCTGGTTTCTTGACCCGCCAACTTTAAAGCATGACATTGAAAAGGTTTTGCATGAGTCGATGAAGAGACCTTTCATTTGTCTGTGTAAGGAGTTTCATGAGAGGATGGATTGGCGTTCCGTCATCATATGCTTGGTACTTTCTCCTGTTATGTTTATTGAGACGAGAGCTTTGTTGCACAGATGGTTCCTACTGACGTGAGTTCAATTCTTGATCCATCCTTATTCAATTGTATATTTGTGTAGGTGAACTGATCTTACTGGATTAAATAAGCATACTTATGTATTATGTACTGAACTTGCTCAACAGGGGTCTGGCTTCTGTGCTAGAGCTTCTAGTCGCGTTATGCTCAGTGATACTAGATGTAGTTTCCCGACCAACGTGGTGGGACATCTCATCGGAATTGGGAGCAAAACTGCCATTCTCTAATGCTTATTTTCCCCATCACCACCACTTACTGAGGATTTTGGCTGGACCCCTCTCTCACGTTAGTCTTCTACATTTAGTCCGCGTTACAAGTGAATTGTTCTCTTGCACTGATAAACAATTTGATCCAATTATTAAGGCACCTGCAATGAAGGCTGAACAAGTAGACCACAAGTCTAGCTGGTAAAAATCCTTACTTCTTATGTCCACATGAAAACAGATGGCATGAACACCATAGCAATCCTTCCTCCCAACACTTATTTTCACATGTGCATATCAGGGCTCTGGCAATCAACTTCCCAAATTGGTTCTACTTTGCTTCTGCTTTGCTCTTATCGAAGAATAGCTTTCAGGACAACATTTATTCAAAATGTATATCAGAGGCATCCAATATTGGAAACACGCATAATGAAGAATCACCTTCTGCTGCGGCAAGGTACATTGCCTGGATTCTGAACCCTCTTAGTAAATCGAATCAGGACTTACTAACCGATTCTTTGGTTAAGATATCAAAACTTCTGGCTTCTAAACAATTTGGCTCAGGTATATATGAGAAGAAGGCAGCTTATGACAGGAAGATGCTCAAGAAACCCAAATTATGTGACAAGGAATACAAGAATCATACAGAACGTTATGATTGTCAAATCATAGCACTCTGGCTTAAGGAATTCAAAAGTGTGTACACAGTGTACTCGAACAAAATTTCCAAAAGTTCTGCATCATGCGACATTAAATTCTCCTGTGATCATAGTATGCAACAAAATGCATTATTCAGGAGAATAGCATTAGGCATATTGCTTGGACGTCTCAATTATATAGATGAAGATGCATGTGAATTACTGCTGCATTATGCCACAACCGACAGAGTATTGCACTCAAGAGAAACCAAGACTTCAAGTTTGAAAAAGGTGAAATGTAATCATGAAGGGAAGAAAGACGTAATCGTGTGGATTGATGAATATAACAAGGAGGAATCTGTGGCAGGTGCCTGTCTTGTCTTTAATTTAACTGATACTGTTGAAAGTATGTCTGCTTCATTGTTTGAAACGGAAGAGGCTGGATTAGATTTTATTTGCCAGGTGAAATTGAAGGTTGGTAAATACTTGGTAAAATGCATCCAGAGGCAAATTCAACTAAAAATTGATGAAGACGGAAATGTTTTGGTGATGGATCTTTGCCAAAGATTGAAGCAGTGGAGGCACCAAGGGCGGATAGTACTAGAGATTCACAAAGAACTAGATGATCTTATCAATGTTCTTAGTCATAAATTATCTTCTCTTTGAGGAGATGTTGTAAAGATTTTGCCCCTCAAGAGATTATGAGAGATAAGTGTGGGAACATGTAGCCTTTTATGTTCTGTTGTGAATATTTATGGGGCATAAAAGCGACTAAATTTGTTCTTTTTGTACACTACAAAGATTGGGAATACAACTGCACCTTTTTTTTACTACATATGAATCAATACAAGGCAATATTCGTGCAAATTTCATGAATGAGATTATTATTATCCAATTTATTATTTCAAAGAAAAAAGCAGATTGCTTTTTCCCAGAATGTTACAACTTACAGCCATTGAGACCCAGCATGTTAAAGGTTGCTTAATTATGACCATTAACTTGCTGGTAATGAGCCCTGTGTATACGTATGAAGCTACTCTTGACACACAACATGCAACATGTTGTCTATATACAAATGCAACCATCTTCACTATCTACATTTGGAATCGGCTGATCGTATTAGGTATGTATCTGAACATTCTTGAATCTTGTATGCTTCAATTACCATGAAGAAACTATTACGGGCAATGACGAAATTACGTGCTGTATGATGAACTAATGTGGGGGCTTCTTTTATTTCATGTACAACAAATGTTGCTGGATCTTAGCTGCATATAGCCTCAAGTGAGAGCTTCTTTGCAACACCCGGGCATGGATCTCCTCCAAAAAATTGAGGAGCTACGATTACTGTACAGGATTGTTGTCCTACACAATTCTGCAAGGGTAAATTAATTTCAAATGTCAAAACAGAATCTAAACAAGAAACCAAACCATTGAGTAACTGAATAGAAAAGATCAAAACCATGGAACAACTCTTGCATTTAATACTCAAATTCAGTAGTTTGTATAGATGAAATCAATGTTTGGAAAATTTGTAAGAATACCTTTTGTGGTACATCATATGACTTGTGGGCATGGCAACTTCCTGCTCGGTAGTTTCCACAGGTCCCCTGCGGTACTCCATAGCTAGCAAACTTAATTTGAGAGATTTTGTGCCCTGGTGGACACCATAAGTGAGCTTTTGCTACGGCTACTTTGCCAGAGCCTAAAGCTCCCCAGTTTTCCATTGTGGGTTGCCCTTCATGTATATCAGCACAGACGGTTCCTGTTGTTCTTTGGTCCAAATTTATCCAATTTGGATCTCCACCCCATTCTTCAAACACAACTAGTAAATTTCCAGTTGGGTTCAGCCATGAGCGCGGAACATGGTACCTGAAAAATAACAGCTTCTCATCACATTTTTTTTCCAATTGGACAACCAAAAGTATAACAACCTAAGCATAAGTTCTTCTCACTGACCATCTCTGAGAGGGCTGCCCACAATCAGTTCGGCATTTCTTATCGGTGAAAGTTCCAGCATAGTTACAAGGCCCACAGCCACCACTTGCTTTGTATGCTGGCCAGTGGCGTCCAATGCTCCGACCGTTTATCCATATTTGTCCCTTTCCCATGCTGTTCATATCCAAAGCTAATGGACCATTACCTCCTGGTGCATTGAAAGTTGTCTGGCAAAAAAACACAGCAAGAAAATGAGTTGCTCATGTTTGTGAAACTCTAGAAAAGTGGGGTACGCGTTTTTCCAGGCTTGGAATCGTTCTCACCTTGTACCATGTAAGTGGCTGATGTTTAGCCAAAAAGGATCCTTGACCCCATTCTACAGAAGAACTTCCACTAACAGTGTGGAGGCCTAATTTTTCTCCTTTCAGACCAATCTGCTCAGGAACAAGAAAAGAAGGTTAGTCTCTAGCTTTCTGTGATTGTCATGATAAGATTTCCATTGGTTTGCATATGATCTGCCAAACCCAAATTTTTAGTTTGATATTAGGGGCTAAAGAGGAAAATTTGGAAGCCAACCAACCTTGTAGGACCATTTCCACTTTGACATATCCCACGTTCCTGTGTTGAGACCGTTCAGTGTTACTGGACCGAGAACCCCTGCATTCCATGTCTCGAAATGCAGACCAACATTCTGGTGTTTCACAAAACAGAGAAAAGAAGGTTAAATTTGATCTGACATTGAAAATGATGTACCAAATGCCATAGCCATGCTTCAGAGTTACAGAACTAACCGGCAGACCCACAGCAACACTTAGTAAAGCAAGCTTGTTGACGCCAGCTCTAAGCTTTATATTCTGAGTAAACGTCAATTTTGGCTTATCCAAACTGCCATATGCACTTCCTGCAAACAAAAAAGAAAAAAAGAAAAAAGAAAGAGAGATATGCATTGAAACTTTCCATTTCGAGTAACTACTAGAAATTTCAAGTCAAAAGGGATGCTATTTCATGTACCTGTTAGTTGGCCATTGACGAAAACATGCAAGGCATGGCCTGCTGAGAAAATATTGAGAAGAGGATAATTTCCGGTCTTCAAAAATCCTTCATCAGAACCTATTGTGATACTGCATAACAATCAATTCGAAAGAAAAAAACTCAAATGATCACAAGTTGGCCCTTTTTCTTCTTTAATGATGCATTTCTGGATTAACTGTGGAAAAGAAAGAAAAGAATGTTCGTATTTTTCCAGTACTTACTCTGTCAAGTACCACAAATAGTCTGTGTTATCCCTTGTGACATAAACTTGCTCCCACAACCCATCTAATGCAGTTGTGTCACCACTATTAGCAGAAGCAGTTTCTTCATTGTATGATTCCCAAGAGAATCCTTTGTAGACGGGGGTCATCCACATCACTGTGCTTTGAGCACCAAGCTGTACAGAAATTACAATCTCATCTCAAACATTTTTCTTATAGAACCCAATAAGAGACACTGAGATTCAAAATTCATTTACATTATCCATGTTTAATTATAAATGTTTTGTGAGAATACAATAGTCTCATCAAGCCAACACAACGAAAGGCCATCTCCTCACCCTTGCAGTGTTGTAAACTGCAGTTTTGCAGTCGGGGAGAATGCTGATGGACCAAGGTGGCAGGTTATATCGCCCGTTTCCAAAGCTCACTTTTACGTCGTAATTAGTGTCGTAATTTGCGAGGAAAGCAGCACAAGCACCGGTGTTCGACCGGAAGACATGAGCCTAGAAATGCAATAGTGGTGATGGTGAGAATAAGCACGGTAATAAAACATACAGAAGAAAAATGATCACAATGGCCGCAACCCAATAAACCTTACCTCTTGATTGTTTCCAAGTTTTGTAACTGTGGGATCAGAGGACACTAAAGCTGACTCAGCCAACTTAATGGCTCTATGCAAATCTCTCAAATGTCCCCATTTTGGGTCCCTTGGTAATCCTAGCACAGGAATAGACAACCACATTGAGATCCACGTGAAACATTTCTGTTTGCACGTGTTAAAAAAAGTGTCTAAAATTAGGTGCATCCAAGACACAAGTATAGCAGACCAAAAATGGTATTCATCCCATGGAGATAAATCTCTGTCAGTCACAAAATAGTAGGTCCTACTAAGTTGGATCCCACCTGTCTCTCAACAGGACCCGCCTTGTGTGAGCAGCGAGGTTTTTAACTCCATGAGAATGAATAGGAATGCTCATGCTAGACTTTCTCCAATATAGTGTTAGGTGTCCACGGGAGCAAAAGAAAAGTAAAATGTCAACAGAGATTTAAATGTGTTAAGGATCACAAGACAGATAAACAACTTTGACACTCGACCTAATCTAAGACAGATGACTTTCTGTTTTGCATACCAAATTCATCCAATGGAGCATCATAGTCATAGCTAGTTGCAATGAAAGGACCACCAGCTGTACGGCCAAAATTTGTTCCTCCATGATACTGTACAAACGTTGGGGTAAAAAAAATAAATATAAGGTAAGAATATATTATAGGTGACAAAAGACATAAACTAAATAAAAATTTACTATATAATAGAATAAAGATTTTGACTTACCATGTAATAGTTAAAGAAAGCACCACCATTTTGAATAAACCTTGCAACTGCAAATGCCAAGTCTTCAGCAGGTCTGTGAGGAACTGGCCCACCAAACTCTGTGTACCTGTGAGACAGTTACAAATAAGTAGTTTTTATGAAAGAGTTTATTTAGCACTAAACGACAAAGTTGTAACATTTAAGATAATTGCACTATTTTCAAGAAAATACGAGAAAGTCACGGTCTATACTCTATACAGCCAACTTTGTGTGACTTACCAGCCAGTCCATGCTTCTGTCCACAATTTCGGTTTGTAGACTTGGTTTGGTTTATAGTTTTCACAATAGAAGCCATTGCAGGCATCAATCTGTTACACAAGAAATGATGTAGATTTGAGAAAAGATATTTTGTAATTGTCTTTTTGCAATTAAAATGCATTATTTTTCTGACAGAAAATCATACCCTTTGCTGAAACTTAGTATTAAAAAAAAATGTGAGCCTCTTTGTTTTTTTTTTTTTTTTTAAACCAGAAAGACCAAAAAGGAGTTGTTTTTCTAAAACTTTCTCTAATTTAATACCACTCCAAACCAGGTAGGACCCTGAATAATCATATGGAAATGGGAAGCAAGCAATGGCATGCCCCATGATGGCATGAATTGAGAATGTACAATTGAAAGACCAACCAAGCAAAACAATGAGATGTTTCTTTTAAAGCCCCACCAACAAAACGACAAGAGATGCACTAAATGAGTGCACTTATGCCGTGCCAGATTGAGAATGACATTATAAAAAGACAAAAGAAAATGTGAGAGATTTTTGTAAAATAACAAAAGATAAAATCAATTTGGTACCTTGTGTTATATTAAAACATGCTGTTGATATCTTATATTTTTAATAATATTAAAATAATAGCTTAAAATTTTTAAAAATATCTTTTAAGTACCTTCAGAGTCTTTTTTGAGATGTAAAATGACATTTATACCTCCTTATTAATTAAATTAAAATCAATAATTTTAAAAGAATTCTAAAATTATTATTAAACATTTAAAAATTAACCCAAAAAAAAAGAAAAAACTTCTTTCTCGAACAAACATGTAAATTAATGAAAGAGGTAAGACACCATTTTAATATTATTTAAAACATAAGGTACTAACTGCATGCTTAATTATATTACAGGATACTAAAATAATTTTATCCCAAATAATAATAATAAATAAATTAAAAAAAAAAAACTTACAACTGGGTCAGGGGCATCATCTTGCTTGCACATAACCCATGGAACTCCTGTGTTAAGACCAACAGCCATTTGAGCTGCCCATTTGGTATAAGCCTTGCCTGGAGCACCAATTTCCCATTCCACTGGTCCATATTCATTTTCTATCTGTCAAATTTCAAGTGTGGAAAAAGCGTAAATTTGAAGTTTAAGCAACTATACATTGACTAAACCAAAAAAGAAAACGAGATTAAAAAAATTCAACGGCTGCTTACTTGTCTAAGAGAATTAAGACTAATAAACTCATAATATATTACTTACTACTTCTAGAAACATGACAAAAATTTATTTGAGCTTATATTTTCCTTACCTGTGACATAATTATGGGACCCCCTTGAGTTTCAAACAATCCTTCTGCTTTCATTATGTTGACAATCTTCTCTGTGAACCTTTGCATGTGCCACTTCATGACAATTAATTTTACAAATAAAATTCTGGCAGTTAATAAATCATTATAAAAAATATGTGAAGTAATTTCTGAGACCAAAAGGAAAGAACTTTGAGAAAAAGGGTATGTCAGATTATGAAAGATTCTGGCTTCCTAACCTTGAAAGGTCCATTGTCCGTTCTAAAAGCGATTCCTGGAACATATTTCAGCCAAACTGGGAATCCTCTGAAATATGAAACAGAGCATAAAAACAGAGTAAATGAATTACACTTATCAACCAATAAACAAACAACATAAATTTCTTTTCTTTTCTTTTCTTTTCTTTTTTGTTTGAATTTATTAATTGATGTTCTCTTACCCAAAGTTCCATTCACCACAGATATAAGGACCAATCCGGAGATGAACATATAAGCCAGCTTGGTGAACCAGCTTGATGAACTTCACCAAATCATATCTATTCTCAAAATAATACTGCAAGTGAGAAAAAAAAAATTGAAACCTTCAAGTTAGGATTTTTCAAAAAAAAAAAGAAAAAAAAAAAGAAGAAGAAAATCAAAGAACATTTTTTCATTACTTTTCCTTCAGAAGGCTCATGCCCATTCCAGAACACATAGGTCTGTATAACATCCAAGCCTCCATCTTTTGCCTTCTGTATGAGATCAGGCCACATCTGCAAAAAGCCCACCAAAAAAAAAATCAAAAATAGGAGCTTTTGAGTTCACGAGCACTATATTTAAAGAAATAAAAAAAGACCCAGAAGTCAAAACGTCGTGAAAAATATGCAAAAAAAAAACAAAAACAAAAACAAAAAAACAAAAAAAACACATGGGCCAGAAAAAGAAACCCGTGAACTGCATTGGCATTATTATAAGTAAGTTACCTCAGGAGTGCTTCTGGGATAATGAATTGACCCAGAAATCAAAATCCTTCTTTTGCCATTAATAACTATAGCTCTGTGGTCATAAGTCACAGAAGCTGTGGCAGATGAAAAAGCCCATGAAAAGAATACCAAGAACATGAAATTCATGTTCCTCATTTGAACTCTCAAACCCATTAAAAACCACCACTTTTTTCCTTCTTTTTTTCCTTTAATCTGGATTCTTTTATCTCATTTGGAACTATTTATATAGAGGGAGAGATAATTGGATGAGATTTGGATTTGGTTGTTTCACGCACTATCTTTTCTGTTTGGAGTTGTTGTTGTTGTTTTTCCTTTTTTTTTTTTTTTCTTTTTAGTTAGTTTGATGGAAGAGAGTTTTGTTGCGGAGAGCTTGGGGAGCCTCTCCCCCCACCCAACCGCTTTATAAACATTTGGAGAACGGAGGGAAAAATTAGGAGGATGTAGGTCCCACTCGGTCACTTTTTTGTTGTGGGGCCTATCTCTATGAAATGAAACTTGTACTTTTTTGTATACACATAACTATATACGATGGAAGTATTTTTTGAAAATGAGTATTTTTTTTTTAATTTTTGGCTTTGGTTTACTTACGTGGTATTCCTTTTGAGCAGAAAGCATTTATAACTTGTGAGGGCTCGTTAATTTTATTAATTTAAGTTTTAAATTTTAATTTTATTACAGTTAAATTTTTTTTATAAAAAATCATTTTTAATTTTTTTATTATAGTAAAAAATTTTTATATAAAATTGTATCTCAATTCAAATTAAAAATTTGTGAACTGAATGAGGTCTGAAAATGTCATCTTTGGACACCTTGGGTGTCTAAAAAAAAAGACCAAATTTGTGTTCTTTTTTCACCTTTGGTTGTATCTTGGCTTATTTTCCTTGGACTAAGATTCCCCACAACCCCAAAAATACGTTTGTAATATGGGAATCTTTTTAACTCCACTCAACACTACTGAAAAGGATGTTTGTCATTTCTTTAGGGGAATTGTGACTTATAGTACAAATTTTTAAAACATAAAATTCCAATCATGTTCCCTTATATTCGTCTTCATTCTATCTAATTTTGATATAATATGGATTTAATTTAACGTTTGGGGTGAGTTTGTCATGTTATTAAAGTCTTATATTTGTTATTTATTGTGTACGAAGGATGCAATTCAAGTGGTTTTTCAAAACTTCAGATTGCAATATTCACGATTCTTGAAGAATGGTTAAAGTATGACTTAAAAGAGAAATGAGATTGTTGGAATTTCACCTTTGAATCATGCAGTACTTAAGGTGATTGCTTTATTTTGAGCCTGAGAAACAAAAGGGTGATGATAAGATTTTGCATTTGGTACTCAACAAAGGAGAGAAAAAAAATGAAATAAAAGTGATTCTAATTAAGTATGGACACCATTTAATGTAAGGATCTTCATTTTCCTTCTTTGAGACGAGAGAATATATCTTAGGGGGGAAAATTTTTCTGGAATTTGGAACTTTACTCTTGTCTCACTCTTCTTCCACAATTGTATTTCTTATGTTTTATGCTTATATTTTTGTCACATTTTATTTCAAATGCTAATAACATATATAGAAAGACGAATAATTAGACATCGTTTGATCGCTGATTAAGATGGGAGAATTATTAATAACACATATAAAAAGACTAATAATTAGAGATCGTCTTAGTCCTTGTGCTGCAACATATCAAGCTGGTCACTACATACTAATTTTGTAACACAGAACATGAAAAATCATTATTCATTCAATACTTACTGTGTATTTTTTCTATTCCTAATTTATTTTTAAATTTTTGCTATATCTGGATTCCACTCTTATAAACATATCAGTTAAATGTAATTTTGACATCCTTTAGATAATGACGTGGAAAACAAACTTCGACCTGTAAAAATGGAGCATAATAGTTAACAATCATACATGAAAATTAGTTTAAGGGTTGGAGATTTTTTTTTAATTACAACTAAATTTCCAATGTCAATGATCTGCCTCAAACTATATTTGTTTTTTTTTTTTTTTTTTTTTTTTTTTTTTGAGAAATCGTGAAATTTTCATTGCATGAAAAAAAAAAAAATAAGCCTTCAATGCATGTCTACAATCAGTTTTTTTTTTTTTTAACCTAAATCTGCAGACATTTTGCAAATAATGTGAATTGGGTCACGTTCGTTGAAAGGAATAAAATAGCAAGTTGCCGCGTCTCTGACGCAATTCTCCCATTATTACCGACCCTATCCTATCGAGAACCAATCCAAAAACGCCACGTGGTCACGCGTTCACCATTAATACTTTGGCGTTATTTACAACCCAAAAAAAAAAAGCAATCCTTTTGACATCAAGGACAGTAATATTATTGCAAATTCTTAAAATCTGAAAAAAAAAAAAAAAACTACATATGAAAATGCTTCAGTGTACGTGGCGATCGGCTATTCGACACACCACAATCCTGAAATAGGTCAAACCGGAGGTAATGTGAGACACATGGCATCCAAATCTTTACAGTGCATGCGGTTGTGAGCATTAGTTAAACTATGGGGTTGTTCTTTTATATTTTTAAGTTAGAGTGACTTAAGTGATGATTTTAAGTTGAGTTTAAATTATAATTTGAATTGAAGTTGTAACTCGAGTTTGTGTTTGAATGTGCACATTTGAGTTATGATTTGAATTTGAATATGTTTGGTTCATAGATTTAAAATCATGATTCAGAATCATTCTCGTTTTACGTGTATTTTTTGTGAGAGAAAAACACTGTAGAGAACCATAAATCATGATTCAGAATCAGAGACGAATACAGAAAACAAACATCATTTCGTTTGTGTTTGGGTGGATCAAAACTTAAATTTGTATTTAGATAGTATTTTAATAAAAACTCAATGGTAATGAAAAATTTTAATAGGGTATATGGGTGGGATTTTATTAATCTTTTCATTGTGAATGCACAGAAAAAAATCATCTCAATAAGAATTAAAATGAAAAATTTATGATATTTTTAAGAATAGAAAAAATATTGTTCATTAATTTGAGTTCGAGTTTATGAACTCAAGTTGAAGGGGAAACTTGAACTCGAGTTTAGCCCCAAACTCAAGTTCAAACTCAAATTTTACAAAAGAACATTAACTTAAATAAAATTATAATTCGAGTTCAAATTTTTTCTGAGTTTCGTTACAAAAGAACAACCCCTATATATATTTGCAGGTAATTATCAACTTGCGGTGCCCCTTAATCAAAAACAACTTTAGAGAAGCTCATTAATTTTTTTTCTTTTTTTTTCGTTTTTGATTACTTAAGTAAAATGACATTATAAACAGCATAATGTAATTTATACTCTACATCATGAAGTATAACAACAATAATTGATTTGAAAACGATAATTGATTGTTATAAAACCATGAAACTGAGAGAGAACAAAAATTAGGGCCAATTCATATGTTGGTAATCAGAAGGATGAGTGCAACGTGATTTAAATGATTATTAATAATAAATATTTATATGCGTTAAATTACAAGTGCTGTTAATTGAATTTTAGTAACTATGGTAAAATTAAGCAAAAAAAAAAGGTATCTACATAACCACACTAATATTATACAATGTGGCGTGTTAGCTATAAATTGTGCGGTTTAGAGCTTGGGCTGTGACATAAATATTTGAGGGGAGAATGAAGTAAATAATTGTTTTAAATAGCATATTTAAATATTATATTTAAAATAAATAGCAGTAAATTAAAATTTTATGTGGTAAAAAAAATCTTTTTAATTAAGAAAATTTAGTCATAAAAAAATTTACGAGGTCAAAAATCTTTTTATTATTATTTACTTCAAATATTCTAAAACTTGTTATTTACTTAATTTAGTTAAAAAACGATTGTTTACTACAATTGCTAATATTTGACCAACTAAACAATTTATAAGCTCCTTGAAAACAATATATTTAGTAGGGAGTGGAAAAAAACATTAATCATCATTTTGACAATAAAACATAACCAAATTAGTCTGCTAAATTGGCGTGGAAGCATAATATAAACTTATAAACTAAGAGAAGTATTGAACATTATTTAATAACATTGAGAACAATTTTTTTTTTATTATTCACCGTGACACATAAATTTCATTGAGTAGTATACTATTATGTAACTTAATTCTAATTTATTGAAAACCGATGGTGCTCAAAATAAATAGTGATGATTTGAGTTACTCATCATAAAACAATCATAACTTGAAAAACAAAGGAATTATTCCTAACAATTAAAATCAAATCTGAATTATGTTTTTGTCGGCTTTCCCATTAATGGCTAACTTCATTTAGCATCTTAGGATGAGTCAAGTCCAAGCAAAAAAAATTGCAAGTAAGAATAATTATGGAGGCAATATTGCAATGTATAGGACAATGTTTAGGACACACGCTAAAAATTAAGAAAATGATTATTACTAAAGTCAAGTTTCGAATAGAGGGTTTCCATATTGATTGGAGTAAATCATTGAAATTTCATATGTTGGATCCTTAATCCAATGTTGGGTTTATATGTGAATAATTATGTGTTGCAGGCTGTCATATAAGGTTAAGCATAATTAAAAGTGATCTACTAAGGTTTAAGTATTTTGGGCTTTAATGTATCTAATAAGGTGTGAGCCTTTAATGTGTAGAGACTTAAGAGTAATTTCTATTTTTTTGATGGGCTAAAATAGAAATACCAAAAGATAACAGGAAAGTTATCAATAAATGGCAGTTATGGTCCCCATATAACATGTAACATTTTCATTCCTTCTGACATCCCATCATCATAAAAAATACAGAGAGAAAGTTAAAGGGTTCTCTAGGAAAACGTGTTGATCTGGAAGACAAACTGCACGACTCTAGAGAGAAATCAAGCAATATGAATTCAGGTACGCTTCCGCTTATAGATTTATTAATTCTTGATGATCTAACATGAATGTTCTTGCTTTTGAGTGATGGTTTTCGCCAAATTATTGATTTCTAACATCATATAATTTGAACAAATAAAAAATAATATACGATTACATGTAGATATATTTAACTTAATTTAATCCCACGAGTTCCATTATGCATGCAGCATGATATTTGAATGACCTAACTTCTTTAAATGTATTGTTATTTTGAGGAACTTATCAAATCCAATTCCCAAGTCAATAGAGTAAGCAAATTGTCATTATATATATATATATATATATTTGTATATAATAAATTTATTTTAATATGAAGGAAGACTTATTAGTCAAACAATTATCAAAGCGATGAGAGAGCTTCACGGATAAACATTAAATAATCTCACAAATTTCAATTGAACGTGGAGTCGGGAATCGGGATTTTGTTATTAAATACAACTGTTTCTAATTTAACTCGAAATAGTGTTAATAAATTATACAGTTGATGAAAAA